GCAATGGTCCTCGTATAAACGTAAAATATGTAACCAGGAAATGTCCTTCCCATCCTTCCACAATTTCCGAGAGTTTTTGTGTGAGTTGGAATTCGCGAAGCAATTTCTTGTCGTCTTCAAAAGATGCGGTACATCGGATATGAAATAGATTTTTCTATCAGGACTGTGTGGATTTACGGTGTTGTAGACAAGTTCACCATGTACTCTATGAATTTGGAAAAGAATTCTGTTTGGTGAGGCCCCATCACAGGTGAAGAATAGCACTTTTAATTTAACGTTATTTCTAATATGGCCACAGCTTTCCACAAAATTGAATATGATAAGTCTCCTGTGATGCTGGTTGTTGCAAAAGCCGCCAACGGAAATCTCAAGTCCACAGCTATTCCTCTCACCATAAGCACAAGCATAAAGTTGGCAATATCCGGGGTTTCGTTGTTCAAATGTTTTTCGAAGTCCATAATTTGATTGCCAACTTTATCAATATCACAGTATCCAATTAGCTCATCTGTATGTTTGTCATAAACCAAGTCCGACCGCACCTTTATCTCGTCAAACAATATACCGACAAAATCTTTGAATTGTCCTCAGGATTGAACATCCCCTTTTTCTTTGCTTCCACTTTAAGCATTTGATTTACATCCTTTTGGAATCCAAGAGCACTTTTAGTATAATGAGAATAATCGAAAAGTGTGCGAGCACTTGGAAGTGTAATAAAACCAGAGTTTCTCATTGCTTCATAAGCACTTGAAGATTTGTGTTTCATATACAAACACCATCTGATCACCATAGGATGCCATCTCATACCCTTCCATGACTTAGCACTCGCTCACTTGAATTGTTCTTTCCAAAAGAGTCGCTGAAGACTGTTTTAATCCGGGAATGCCTTCTGGACCTCATCTTGACACGTAGCCATCGCATCCCGAAATTCAACATTTTGTCCCACATCAAGTGTACTCCTCAATTCTTGCTGAGACCGTCTTTGCAGCCTGCCTACTTCTGATGCTAAATCGTTGATTTTATTACGTTGCTGTTTTAACTTTTCTATCAGTACCTTCCTGTCCATCTTACTATGCGGGGTATGTCTAAATTTCTTGTCCATGTAGTTTGGTGGCGGGCTGGACATGTGTGCCTTATCCTCTTGCCGTAATTTTCGGTCCCTCAGATTTCGTCGCACTTTAGAACATGGTTGACACCTGGCACCTTGTACTAAAAAATTACACATTGTGCTACGAATTGTTGAATTGTATCGGAGGTCACCTTTCATAGCACTAAAGTCTTCTTCTCTATAGGCCGAAATGTCTCCAGAATGGTCTTGTATAGCACTTCCAACATCAACAAAATTCTGATAACACTAAGGCAAAGAGGAATTAGCGTATCCCTCCACTACACATCGCAAGTGGTGTTAATGGGAAATTGCGCCAAATTTATAGAGACTTCGACTCGGTAGTACCAAACTGAACTCTTATTGATAGATTGAGTAAATTGTTAATGTTCAACCTCTCGGCCAATCAGGAGGATTCGCATAGGTGATGGAGGGGTGGGTGAAATTCTGCCACTGATTAGAAACGGTAACATATAAATCTTAGATAGGAAGTAGTGAAAATTTCAAGTCAATTAACATGCATCACGTCAGTGATTCGCACTTCCTTACACCCTGACAGTTTTATCAAAACTTTAGTTGAACGCATGTGTTTCTAAAAAATACACGATTTACACTTCAAGTACAGCATCTGTACATATTTAACGGTTTTCAGGTAATTTTAGCTTGTCAACTTCCATTTCCATTGAACATTTTAACTGCGTCGTTTTTTTCATTTCAATGAGTTTACTTTTTTATCCCGTATGAGAATAATTCTTCAAGTACAGAGTGTGAAAGTGTAAAATCCAATGTGTACCAAAACTTTGTTATAATTTCACATGTTAGTTAAAATGAAAACAATACTTCTACAATCTAGCAATTCTTTCACAAAATTCATTAGGAGTTCCCTCCCTTTAATTAGAGATGGTGTTAGAATATAATATAATTTGCATCCAAAAATAAACCTTACAGAAAGTTTATTTGATTAAGTATTACTTTAAATAACAATAATAATAATGATAAAATTCTTCAGATAGATTTTTTTTTATTTGAGAACAACAAAGACAAATCAAAAAGATATCTCTGGACCAGATGTGGACTTACTGACTTTTGTTGGACAGTGTGCACATAGATAAGAGTTTTCTGTAGAGAATGTTGAATTTAAAAACGATGTATATAGTCGACCTCTTCATATATACTTTTTGCATCTTCAACATTTTCATATATATTAGAAGCTTTGATATTGTATAAATACTCAACATATCTGTTTATACCTCTAATGATATTTTTTTTTCAAATACTCAACAAACTTAACATTTTATTTCAATAGAAGTCTTTTTACATATAAAAATTGGGTATCTTACAGTTTTATTTACAATGTGGCTAGTCAACCTTATAACCTCTTCGTGTATACTTTTTTGTATGTTCAGCATTTTCATATATACTAAAATGAAGCTTTGATATTACTCAACAGATCTGCGTACTACCTCCAATGATATTTCTTTTAAATGTATAAAGCTGTACTATAACCAACAGTCTTGATATTATTCGATAGATTAAAGTTAGACCAATTCAAATCTGTAATTTCATAGTTAAATACTGGTAAACTATTTCTCAACTTGGTTTTTAAATATTAAGATTCATAAATACATCTTTTAAGTTACTTAATGTTACATTTACTTTGTTGCTGGTAAATTATTTTTGTCAATACCTTCATTTTTTTCACAACTATCAATGCCTGTTGTTGGCTATATATTTAAATGCTAATTAAATGTTAAACAAAAAAATTAGTACATTCATAAGGTTCAAACAAAAAAGTTAAAACTGTTTGTGTGATAAACAAAAAAAAAGCCATTCCATTTTTATAGCTTGAACTCTCATAAAAGTTTATTCATGTAGCATTCAAAAAAATCCATTTTTTTCTTCAAATATTAACTGCTTTTTCCTGTCTCATTCTCTTTTTGATATATGTATATGTATATACATAGTGTCAATGATTTTAACTTTGATTAGGTTGTATTTTCGTAAAACAGTTTTTATATGTCTGTATACAATCAATATCTGATGAATATATGTTTAATGTTTTTTTTTCAAATACTCAACAGATTTATTTTACAACTTCATTCCAAGATTACGATATTTCCATTATTAAAAGGTTGTACACCATTTTTTCAAATACTCAACAGATTTATTTTACAAATTCATTCCAAGATTGTGATATTTCCATTATTGAAAGGTTGTGCATCGTTTTTTTCACAAATACTCAACAGATTTATTTTGCAAATTCATTCCAAGATTATGATATTTCCATTATTGAAAGGTTGTACACCTATCATATTTTTCCTTTTCATTATAGACTAAAGACATCTGGGTTTGTTTCAAATATTTTTTAAACTATTTGTGTTAACTACAAAAACAAAAACAAAAACAAAAAACATTTTTAGGTCATGGTGACCTATTGTGATAGCCTTTTGTTCGTCGTCGTCCGTCGTGCGTTAACTTTTCCTTGTGAACAAAATAACTTCTGTAAATGTTAATCGAGTTTGATAAAACTTTGTACGCAGCCATAAATCAATAAGATCTCGGACTAGTTCGAAAATGGGAATTATTGGAGAGTAACTTACAAAGTTATTGCTCTTTGTAATAATATTAGTATTGGACCTTGTGAACACGATAACTTGAGTAAATGTTAACCGAGTTTGATGAAACTTTGTAGGCAGCCATATATCAATGAGATCTCGGACGAGTTCGAAAATGGGAATTAATGGACAGTAACTTACAGAGTTATTGCCCTTTGTAATATTATTATTGGACTTTGTGAACACGATAACTTGAATAAATGTTAACCGAGTTTGATGAAACTTTGTACGCAATGTTACATCTAAAAGATCTCGGACAAGTTGACAATATATAAATATGACATTCATTAGCAGGTGACAGTGAATATTGTCAACCCGAGAAAACCATTGACACCCGAGGCGAAGCCGAGGGTGACAATGGGTTTTTGAGGGTTGACAATATTCACTGTTACCTGCTTATGAATGTCATAGCTATTTTGTTACTCCAAAAGTCTTTGTAGCTCAGAAACGGCAGCAAACCTCGATAATGACATCATGTTTGTTGATAGCCTGCTGTTTACAATCGCTATCGCACCGGCGCTTCATAAAATTGGCTGTTGCCGTCAATCGTTCTTGTGACCATCACGGTGGGGAAACGAAGCAGTGAACGCACATTTTTCGCGCATGTGACATTTATCACTGTTTCATGGCAATTTCACCCGCGCCCCTTAAAACCAATGTATTTTCGGAGTGTGACAGAGATTTTTGTTTAATTTTCTCCCAACCAATCAGATACCTGGAAATTCACTTGAGGTGTAACAACGGTAATTATTTGAGGGTAGCCTGCAGAGTTATTGCCCTTTGTCATTATATTATTATTTCTCTCTGTGAAGACGATAAGATTTTGAGCATATAATTATAGAGAAGCAATGTTGACAAACGTTATCTAAGAAAGTGTGTTGTATGAAGTACAGATAAATCTCAAGTTAATATTCAAGTGAAAATGCAGCTTATATATGAAATGTTTCAAAAAGACTTTATATTGTTGTTTTAAAATATATTGGCACCCCGTTTGGATAAAGGGAGACAACCACCAAAAGGTAAGCTGTGTCCACGAATAAAGGGAAAAACCCGGTCCATCTGATCAATATGAAAACATGGATGGTAAAAGGGAGTAAGAAATCGATTCAAACATTTTCAAATATGAAACATTTTAACAAATTATTGAATTTTCGTGGTTTATTATTGTTTATGGAGTTGTTTGTATGTTGCCATGGGTTTAAATGTATACTCACTTTTTATAACTGCGTCGTATACACGCTTTGCGCCTAGTATGCCTTTCCTCTCAAAGCGTTCTGCTGACATAGACGAGCACATGTCCAAACAGCAAGATGGCAGACGAAAAGAAAAGCATCGACTCTCCGGTAGATAAAGTGGACGATCTCAAAATGTCCAGAGGGGAAAAACCAGAAATTGTTGTGGACTTAGAAAAACTACACGACTTGTTTGTATATGATGAAATGGAAAACAAAATTCGTTTCTCGGATATCTACAAACACCAGAAAACAGTTGTTGTTTTCATACGGGTACGAACTTGTTCAAAACTTTTCTAACCACTCCGGGCCCTTGACCATGTAATGTTTAACAAAGTTTATTTTTTATGATTGTTAAGAAATAATGTTAAGGCTTATTTAATCATATTCGCAGTAATGATTTCGTGGTGATTGTATATGGATCAACCCCTGCCCTGCAGAAAAGAATACACCTGTTACTCACTGCATGTATCGTAGGAGGCGACTAATGTGTGAAACACTGCAGATTTAGGGATTTGCTTTGTTGTCCTCTATTTGAGGACGTAAAAGCGACCAAAATAAATATGCTGCTCTCATTGCAATATTTGGGGTCTTGATCTTTCTTTCTACTTCTAACTACCTTTTATTTCCTATAGTGCCTTGCTTGGCAACACCTCAATTTTGGCTTTAATGTTGAGCCTTCGCTCAGGTGAGGAAGGCAATGGGTTTTGTCCCTATGCCGGGACATACCAAAGTCCTTGAAAATGGTTGTTGTAATTCTCTGCTTAACATTCAGCATTTAGGGGAATGGCAACAACTGGTTCACCCCGGTGTCAGTATAATGTGACCAGGCAGAATGCTGTGCTGGCTTCCTTCGCCATGATATTTCAGTGAGATTGAACTATAAAGTTGGCATCAGATCCACGCTATCACAAGGAGGCTAGCACACCAGCATACCCAGTCTCCTGCATACACACCCCAGCACGCATACCCTACACACATGGACGCATGTCCTTAAATGAGCTTAGCTGTTAATAGGACGTTAAACAAAAATAAACGAAACCAAAGTATATGGATCTACTGTTAAGTTCAAATACTGACTATCAGACTATATAACTCCTCTCAAAAAGATTTTAGAGTATGCTATACTTTTTTTATTATGTCAACTTCAATTCACGCTAGTGTAACAGGGGAGAGTTCACGACGTACAAGAGTGGGTTTTTGTCAAAACCAGGGATTTAACCAGCAGGCTCTGCTTTCTCAATCCAACACTCTTCGTCAAGGGGAAGTCCCCATTACTATAATAAATAGAAGGCGACCAGTGGTACGCAAGATGCATCTTCAAAACATGGTCCATGATCACAGCATAATAATTACTAAGTCAAAACCTAATGCTTGCTGGACAATTAAAATCTTGATTGATATAGTTGTGATGTTTTTTTTAGTTTATATATATACAGTTTACATGGCAAGTGATTATAAATAAAAAAGAGATTCGCATAAACATGACAACATCTCTCAATTTTTAAGTAATACTTTTTCCCTATTTACCTCTTTGAAGGATGAAATGGAATTCTCAACGTTACCTGGGTCATTAGCTCTACCAGCTGGTTTGCAGTTATATGTCAACATCCCCTTCACTAAATTTCTATTTTATGACTTCTGTATATACTTTTGTGGCAGATTTTAATTATACATACGTATATGGTCACCTTCTAGCTTCACGCTTGAGGGAATTTCCCTTTAGCTCAATCAGTAGAGCAGCAAACTGGGAAGCTGGGAGTTACAGCTTTTATCGAGGGTGGAAGCATGATACTCTCTTTCCTGCTACAAATGGTGTTTGTGGTACTTACAAACTCTGTTGTTGTAGTGTTGGAGGCCGTACAGATATTTATCGGTTACGGTTGTCTTCTAGTTTTAAACTAAAGCAAAGGTAAATGATCTTTTGCTCAATCAGTATAGCAGTGGACTGTGAAGGTGGGTTGCAGCTTTGATGCATGCAATTAATTTAAACCTTGGAGTTCTTTTCCTTACACTTTGAAAAACAAAGTATCAATGTAATGAAAATTTCCATCCCCTTATTTCTTTCAGTTTCTTGAAAATGTTTCTTGTCTCCATGAAAGCACAGAATTAGAATATCTAAGTCTGTGATGAAAGTATTAGTTTGAAGCAGTTTCATACTCTGTCGTATCTTACTGGTAATATACATGTCTTTTTTTCTGTCCATTGCAGCACTTTCTTTGCTTTGTATGCAAGGATTACATGGAAGGTAAGTCTTTTTGCAAAAATGACTTTTGATAAATACCGAGTGAAAAAACAACAACACAGTCCGTCGATCGCGACTGCAAATCATTTCAATTAGTAGAGCTATTGTTAACGGGTAATCACAGAGATAGTGTTAGCTAATTACTGCATTGTAATTTGTAAAAAATATCGCCAAACCACGGACTTAGATAATCTAATTCCGTGGCCAAAGTGAACTGTGACATGACCTGCATGGTTTGAAGTGACGTACCCCAAGCCGCCATGATGAGCCCTTCTCACTGATCGTAATTATGATCAATAAAAGGTATCTAATTATGCCTTTCACCAGGAGATATGCAACAGCGGTTACTAAACATCGAATTACTTATTAATTGATATGTTTTTGTAAGCAAGTAAATGTTTTATGTAAAATATTGCTAAAATGAATTGATGTATGCCGATATGCGCACACGTGTGTGTCATGTGTGATCAGATAATTTAAAGAAAACAAGCAACAAAATACACATTTTACGTAGTTTCTTCTTGGTTTTAAATATCATTTTACATCAATGAAAAAAAATCATAGAAATATATTTAAAAAAAAATTATTCAGAGATCGATTTTCGGAGCATGAACATCGTTTTTTTTCCAGATTTTTTGGGTGCGCAAAATATTAGAGTAGAAGCTTTTTTCCCGATTTTCAGCCTCAAAAAGTACCTGCGCAAATTACACAGGTGCGCAAATTACATGGGTTTTTACGGTAATTCAAATACTATTGTATCCACCATAACTAAATCTTATATAATAAAGTTGGAAGAAAAATGTAATCTATCAGCCTGATGTAATTCAAGATACAATTAAAACAATACTGAATTTGTGAGGTATGGTAAAGAGGAAGAGATAAAGGTGAAACAGAACGGTTAGATAAAACAGACTAGTAAATAATTGACGGATTTTATTAAGACTTAGAATTTACCTTTCTGGTTAGGGTCCAAAATCGTGAGTCTCCCTCCAAAGTAGGGAGAGTTTGCAGGTATGTCAGAGTAATTTCTATTTTATTTTTTTCAGATTTAGCAATCATCCCCCTTGAATACCTTCAGGTAAATATTTTTACTTTTATATGCTCTATGACATGATAAACATGCATGTCTTATGCTAAAAGGAAATACTGAACTTTTTTTTATTAATCATTCAATTTCCAATAAGTACACAATAAATTGACATTACAAAAATATCACACGGTGACACCATTTATAGCTTCTCTCATGCATATGGTCAACTCTTGTTTTTGGTTGAGTTACCGTTAACGATGAAATTGGTGTCCAAGATACTGTTGGTGTAAATTATCATAAGATTTTAATAGGTTATAGCAGCAATGAACAGATTTGTAATCTACAAATTTTAATTGAATTGCAGTGAGTAGTTTTAATGAGACTGTTTATCATACTTTTTATATTTTAGGCTGCTAATGTAAGAATCGTTGTGATAGGACCAGCTCCATGCAAGTTTATAAAGGTAAACGTATGCCATTGTTTTTGTGGAAGTTGTCAGTCTAATTGTATCCTGTATCACTGTGCAATACCCCACCCCACAGACTAAAGAATTTTCAGTTTGAACACTCGCTCATAGCTATGTTTCCTCTTGAAAGTAGTTTCATCAGTAATATAATAACAAAATCAATTAATTTTCTTGGCAATATGAAAAATTCATTGTTCTATAAAAACCTTGGTCCATGGCAGTCATGATATTGATATGGTAGAGAAATACAGTATAAGAAATGCCTTTCAAGTATTTGGTATGCCCTGCAAATATTTTATTTTTGTGAAGCATACAAGATTAAATTTTCATGTTTAAATTATTGTAAGATAAATCAGTACTTTCATAAAAACCTTTTTATACACTTAATAATTCTTGTCTCCTAACTGAACATTAGAATTTATTTTCCTGTTTTCACTTGTTTTGATTTGACTTAAAGTTCTTTATATCTACTTTTCCCCAAATTTTCATTTTCTATGTGTCATTTGTAATTGACGTTACAAACTCTTGGATGAATACATTTACTATATTGATAAATCTTTTCCAGCCATTCAAAAAGGAGACTGGTTTTAATTACACACTGTACACTGACCCAGAGAGAGAGATCTACAAAGCCCTCAACCTAAAGGAAAAGATGGAGCATGGTGATGATAAAAGTAAGCAATTTGATAGGGGGTATGGGACAATGTATTGAAGAGTGGCATCTGCTAGCATTCAAAATCTGTTTTACCATTCTCGTCTCCAATCAGTTAGCTAAGTAAAGTTATGATTTATAGAATGAAGGTAAATTACCCTGATGGATAAGAATGCATTTTATAGGCTTCATCATTTAATTGTCCCTGTTCCGCATTTTTTTATCTAGACAATTGTTTTACCAATTCACTAATAGTCTTCTTGTCGGTAGGACGTCACTAGCTATGACTGTTTTTTCTGTGAGAGGCAAACCTTATTTCATATTCAGTACAGTACTACTGTAAGTACTATAGAGACCTATTTAAGTTGATCCTGGATATGTTTGTTTGTTACCACTTTACTTGCTTTTAGCTTAACTATGTATATTTAAGACTAAGTTAGTGATAACAATTTTAAATAATCATCACTCATTTATTCTTTATTAGCAACATACATACATAGGTACATACACCAACAGCCAACACCCAACAAAAGGATCCTACCTAATATTGGACAGCGTTGGCTCTTCTCCCCCTTTATACATATATACATATAACATTCTCTAAACATGATTAGAATAGACAAAGTGACATCACAGTATACATAAAACACCGTTCAATAATGTACATGTATATATATAATGATACTTAGTTAACACACTACATTTATGAAACACCACAATACAAATTAATTAACGCCTCTTAAATGCTAAATATAAATATTTTCCGAAATTGGATAGCTTTCTTACATTATTCATACTAACTACAAGTGTAGTTGAATTAATTTAAAAATGGAGGGTTTTCTGTAATAATATTGTAACATTATTGTTTGATTAATCACTTGATAAAGTAGCAGTTGTCAACGGCTTAGTGTAATACTGTTGTACAATGGTTGTTTAGGTTACAGATCATCTGATTCGTTTGTTGTTGATGATGAATGAAAGGCTTCAAAAATCTAATATGATATGCGCAGGTGATTGACAAATAGCATTTGTTTTTTACCTCCTTTAAACAGATAATAAGCATGTCAAGCAGAATGTGATCATGGGAGTGTTGAGGAGTACATGGAAGGCGATGAGAGTCCAGGAGTATGAGGGCAACATTAAACAGCAAGGGGGAGCCTTTGTTCTAGGACCGGGTAAGATATTACTTTATATTATAAACAGGTGAGTGGGGCCTTTATAGTGCATGGGTGAGTTTAGCCAAATTTATACACTGGGACTCGGTTATGATAGTTAAGCCAAATTTATACACTGGGACTCGGTTATGATAGTTGAGCTAAATTTATACACTGGGACTCGGTTATGATAGTTAAGTCAAATTTATACACTGGGACTCGGTTATGATAGTTGAGCCAAATTTATACACTGGGACTCGGTTATGTTAGTTGAGCCAAATTTATACACTGGGACTCGGTTATAATAGTTTAGCCAAATTTATACACTAGGACTCGGTTATAATAGTTGAGCCAAATTTAATCACTGAGAACAGGTGAGTTGAAAATTTGTTCATATATCTTAATTCTGATAAAATTATGTTGACACCAAGCTTCTCAGTACACTTGTTTGTTGAAGGTTGTTTTCTCAGAATTATACACTACTGCTTTAACATAGGTATTTTCATAGCATACATTGTAATTGTTTTCTCAAAACTGGCATTCACCAGTTGAAAATTTCTCCAACTGTACATATCCCCTTTTCTTTATATCAAATGTGTACAGAAATTCAAATTTGAAAATACGTCTCATGAGAACGAAGTGTGATGAAAGGTTATTAAGACCCTGTAAACTCAGACTAACGGATGAAGTTGAACCTGTGCACCTAAAACACCACTGGGGTTGCTGGAGAGTAAATTTAACGCTGTAACATGTGTTGTTCTGTCTGTAGGTGATGCTGTAACATGTGTTGTTCTGTCTGTAGGTAATGCTGTAACATGTGTTGTTCTGTCTGTAGGTAATGCTGTAACATGTGTTGTTCTGTCTGTAGGTAATGCTGTAATATGTGCTGTTCTGTCTGTAAGTGATGCTGTAACATGTGTTGTTCTGTCTGTAGGTGATGCTGTACACTTTGCCCACATTGATGAAAACTCACTGGATCATACGCCGATCAATGACCTCCTTGAGAAGGCAGGAGTTGCTGCCGTCAGTTTCCCTAAAGACAAGAGAGTACAGCATATATAAATCCTCCACACTGACTGATCACCACAATGCTTTGATGTGATGCAAGTTCCTTTATAAAACCCTCCACATCTGAATGACTACACTGTTGAAAAATTATGGAAATATGCAATTATGATTTTTTTGTGTTTCTTGATGGACTAATGGTATGTTCTTTTGATATTCATTTCAAAATTAACTCAACAAATGATATTCTTTAATTGCATAAATAGAACAATTCTTTCAAAAGTTGATAAGTTATGTCCTGGTAAAATTCATGGACTCTCATGAAAGGTAAAATTTAATTTGAATTATGAAAACATTGATAGACAGATGTGGTGCCTTGTTCGTTTTAATATTTGATGATTCCAGATGTTCCTATGCCATACAATACGTTAGAGAACAGTAGCTTTACCACACAGAAAGATATCATACAGTAATATAGACCTTACGATAACAAACCATACACTAACAAACCATACACTAACAGACCATACACTAACAGACCATACACTAACAAACCATACACTAACAGACCATACACTAACAAACCATACACTAACAGACCATACACTAACAGACCATACACTAACAAACCATACACTAACAGACCATACACTAACAAACCATACACTAACAGACCATACACTAACAGACCATACACTAACAAACCATACACTAACAGACCATACACTAACAAACCATACACTAACAGACCATACACTAACAGACCATACACTAACAAACCATACACTAACAGACCATACACTAACAAACCATACACTAACAAACCATACACTAACAGACCATACACTAACAAACCATACACTAACAAACCATACACTAACAGACCATACACTAACAAACCATACACTAACAGACCATACACTAACAGACCATACACTAACAAACCATACACTAACAGACCATACACTAACAAACCATACACTAACAGACCATACACTAACAGACCATACACTAACAAACCATACACTAACAGACCATACACTAACAAACCATACACTAACAGACCATACACTAACAGACCATACACTAACAAACCATACACTAACAGACCATACACTAACAAACCATACACTAACAGACCATACACTAACACACCATACACTAACAGACCATACACTAACAGACCATACACTAACAGACTATACACTAACAAAAACCATACACTAACAGACCATACACTAACAGACTATATACTTATAGTTGATGCCATATAGTTACACATCATACGAACACACACAATCCAAAATGCATACCATATAGTATCATACATTGTACGAAACTGAACATCAGTATATACTAATCTATCATACTGGAGTATAATATATCATGAAATATCATACAGTACATTACTATTGATAATCATCATACAATATCTACCATGTAGTAACATGCTATTTCATAAAGTATCCTACCATACCGTATATTGTGGTACCATACAGTGCTGTACTTAGGTAGCTATTGTGGTACCATACAGGGCTGTACTTAGGTAGATATTGTGGTACCATACAGGGCTGTACTTAGGTAGATATTGTGGTACCATACAGGGCTGTACTTAGGTAGATATTGTGGTACCATACAGTGCTGTCCTCAGGTAGCTATTGTGGTACCATCCAGTGCTGTACTTGGGAGGCAATTGTGGTCCCATACAGTGCTGTACTCAGGTAACTATTGTGGTACCATACAGTGCTGTTCTTAGGTAGCTATTGTGGGACCATACAGTGCTGTACTTAGGTAGCTATTGTGAAACTACAGAAACCAGTGCAGTAAAATACCATAAAGTCATAATGTTATTGTACCCTACATCACTATCTGTCCTTAACCAATACCGCACTACATGATATCCTTGGTCCTACTTAGCATTATGTGGATATCAGTGCATTATGTTTTGTGTAACAAAATAATTAATTTAAATGACTGTCATTGATATAACTCATCCCGACAGTAAACTCATTGAATTTGGGGATGTATATGTGGGATGTTGCAATATCCTTCTCAGACAAAAATTAAATAATAATAGACTTATCTACCATAAAGAAAAAGGATGAGATCATCAGGATATAATATCTTGTCAGATTTAAATTTAGATAAGACTATTTTCTCTGGTTCCTAATCTAACCCACCATTACTTTTTTCACATTTCCTGATTAACTGAGATTTTGTTGCAGTGATCTGGATGATCCTTATAAGGTGTTCCAGGAGCGAGATTAATATATACATGTATTAATTGGATATCTGTTTTCATATCACAACTGTTGGGAAATTATTTTCCCCATATTGTTAAAATTGAAATGGATAAAGTTGTGACTGAATGGTGTATTTGTATATGATGTGTTTATGAAGTAGTGTACTTGTTTAATTTATTATCATATACTGTATTAAATCTTTTATTTTTTATAATTCTTTATTTATTTGAATGTACATATAATGAAATGTGTGAAGTTTTGAAAGTCTATATGTAAATTTTTCATGTTACTGTAGTATGTGTTTAAAAGTGTTTGGAGAGAAATGTCTGTCATTGTATTTATCACCACACTGCAAACTCTTCGTTTGTTATAAAGAAATTTTGAAGTGATCACTTTTTATTGATGTTTGGTAGACTTGAGATATGTTATACTCTTACTAGTATTTTACAAATATTTTCACAAAGATCTGCTTATTCATGAACAATACTTAGGGCTAATAGAACATTGCTGTCATGTTGGTGAGTTACTTTGTTAATATTGACTCCAATATAGAAGTCTAGCTGTAAGTGGGTGTTACCGTAAATTTGCACGTATAGTGAACACTTTTTTCCGTAAATATTGCTTCATTTTAAAATATTGAAATCATTCACGAGGTTATCGATCAAGTGTTTATGTAGTGTTAGATGCGAGATCAACATGAAAGTGGGCCGGGAAAAAACATGCACACTAGGCTTAGCGATTTAGTAAAAAAAAACAGAACAATGCCACGGAGGAAGACCTTCATGGGCTTGTTCCCGCCAATAAATCAATCGTTAATTAATTGGCGTTTTAAACACCAAGCTACCTGTTATGCTACTTTTCCAGTTTGATATCGGTTATTTTCAGATATTTTTTTCAGATTGTTTTTCATTTTTCATTTTTTTTCAAATCTGACCCCAAAAAAAATACCTGCGCACTACATTCACTTCATATCTATAGTAGTTGTGTTTTTGAAAAATAAATGAATTGTTTCAATATTTTTGTCTTTATTTCACTGCATTATTGAGACATAAATAGAAATAAGATATTGGTATTTGATGACATTGTATAATTTGAAATAATTGAGGGTATTTTATACAAATATATTCATACATCCAATATGGCCATTAAATTAAGCATTTATTTGTACAACAAACATGTTTAATGTTATATCCAGTGAGATCAGGGTAGTGTCTCGAGATAAGTATTGTCTAGTATCAATATATAATTACCTGTCTCCGATCTGACAGAGTAGCAAAAGAATCAACTCCACTTCTATAATTTTCTAAAGAAGGATTACCTCTTCAAAACTTTTTACCTACCAAAACACACTACAAATGCAAATTTGTATAGTACATATATTGTATTGTGCATATATACATTTGTGTTTGTTCAGGGTTAGTTACGATGTTGGGGTTACAATCTCTGTGACTGCCTTCCTTCACATTTTGGTTACCATGCCCCGATTTCTTTCCATCCCACAGATACAGTCTTGGGACCTGACATAATATATATTATATTCCTTAAATATTAACATTATTTGTATTGTATGCTTGTATTATTTTATGTTCCTTTTTTTTCCTTCGATGAAAAGAGGATGTGTAGAGTCAATTTTGAGGTACATATAGGTATATTAATGAACAGTCAAATGTCACATTAACCATGCTTTGAATAGAAATTAATTTTCTCTGTTGAAATGAAAAGAGAAATTGATTTGTGTTGTGTTAATCATGATGTATGTCAGAAGACGTGAGAATGACCTGAACCTTTCTTATTTATACATAATTATATTATTCAGGGGAAAGATATTGAATTATACATTTTAGGTAATTTGTTATTGACCCTCTTATGTCATCCTTTGGTATCAAATATTTATTTCAATCTCTAATGAATTGTGAATAAATAATCTAAACTGTTTGTAGGTTTTCTGTTTTTTTGAGACATTTTTGTATGGATATAATGTGTATATTATTAGCTCATCTGGCCAAAAATGACTGACATTAAGTCTGCATATTCAAGGTCACAGCGGTCATTTGTCTTAAAAAACTTTCAAAGCACTTCCAAATAACCAAGAGACCCAGATTTATGATATTTGGCCAGAAGCATGCTGGGGTGAAGTGTTTTTAAAAACCTTCTTATGAACAAGGCAAAGTATTGCATTGCAATTCATAGTCCACCACTTGTAATGATTTATATATTTAACAAAGAGTACACTTATGTCAGGAAGCATAGGTCACAGTGAGGTCGTTGTGACCAACTCTTGCAATCTGCCATCCCTAAATGTCTTTATAAACCAAATCTGGATACTCCATGTGAAATAGTATAGAAGATATGCCCCTGACAAACTTTTCAAAAGTAAAGGTCAAGTAGTAGGTCACAGTGACATAATTCTTGCACCCTGCTCTCCGCCATCCCAACATATCCTTGTACACCAAATTTTGTTACTCCGGGTGAAGTAAATCGTATAGAAGAAACATTTTCAAAAGTGAAGGTCAAAGGTGAAGTCATAGGTCACAGTGACCTAATTTTCGCACTCTGCACTCCACCATTCCAAGATGTCCTTGTACACCAAATCTAGTTACTCCAGGTGAAATATTAAAGAAGCAATGCCCCGGACAAACTTTTTTTCAAAAGTTAAGGTCAAATGTCAAAGCGTAGGTCACAGTGAGGTCATAGTGACCTTCTTATTGCACTCTGCACTCTGATATCCCAAGATGTCCTTGTACACCAAATCTAGTTACTCCATGTGAAATAGTAAAGAAGATATGCCTCGGACAATTCTTTTTCAAAAGTTAAAGTCAAAGGTCAAGTCATCGGTCACAGTGACCCAATTCTTGCACTCTGCCATTCCAAGATGTCTTTGTACACCAAATCTAGTTACTCCAGATGAAATTTTAGAGAAGATATGCCCCGGACAAACATTTCAAAAGTAAAGGTCAAGTTATAGGTCACAGTGAAACTTTTTAAAAGTATGTGTCAAGTAATAGGTCACAGTGACCTAATTATTGCACCCTGCTCTCCGCCATCCCAACATATCATTGTACACCAAATTTTGTTTACTCCATGTGAAGTAAGTTGTATAGAAGAAACATTTTCAAAAGTGTAGGTCAAAGGTGAAGTCATAGGTCACACTGACCTAATTCTTGTACTCTGCACTCCGCCATTCCAAGATGTCCTTGTACACCAAATCTAGTTACTCCAGGCAGAGACGTATAATACATCTCTGCTCCAGGTGAAATATTAAAGAAGAAATGCCCCGGACAAACTCTTTTTCAAAAGCTAAGGTCAAATGTCAAAGCATAGGTCACAGTGAGGTCATAGTGACCTTCTTATTGCACTCTGCACTCTGATATCCCAAGATGTCCTTGTACACCAAATCTAGTTACTCCATGTGAAAAAGTAAAGAAGATATGCCTCGGACAATTTTTTTCCAAAAGTTAAAGTCAAAGGTCAAGTCATCGGTCACAGTGACCCAATTCTTGCACTCTGCCAGTTGTTTAAAAACTGCTGCCTCAGACATCCTGGCATTTCCTTGGTATGTCATACGTACCGTTCCATTTGGGTGTTGATTCACCATCCAGAGACATATCGGCTACAGCATTAGCAATAATTTCTCTATGGAGAAAAGAAATTAAACCGAGAAACCCCGACATTTTGTCATCTTTGAAGTGTAGCAAATAGCAACGGAGACGTGGACATTAGGATGAATTGGTAAAGCAGCATCAGTAGTCTGTAAGTTAACGAAGAAAGAGTAAGAAAATTAAGGTATGGTCAGTGCTATATATTATATGCCGCAGATAACAGGGACCTGAGAATTGGTTACAGCTATAGTTGGCCCTAAACTAAGGTGTGAAGAGTAATTGTACACGTTTAAAGGGTTGATGTCAAATTTCAGTGAAAATGCCATCCTGATGATCACCAATTGATGGGGTGGCTATTTTACCGAAAGTTGACATAAATCCATTGAACATCTGACATTACTCTATTATCATTGTGGTGGCATTTCTACCGAAAGTTGATCTCACTTTCAACTTAAAAAGTTGGGGGTGGGGTGGGGGAAATAAAACCCTGACCTCACTTCTTTGTAGTTTTGCGAAATTTCTGTGATCCGAATTGTTACTTATCATGTCATCCGTGTAACACAGACAGATTCACATGATGGTATACATTAAAGCCCAATATTATCTTGCTTTGTAAAAGAGAATTTATTGAAGAATTTGTTGGTGGTAAAATCCGACGTCATAATTATAACCCCAGACTAGCCAGTCCGAATAAAAAAAAATCCGGCAGAAAAGAAATCTTCAAATATGACCATATTAGCCCATTTGTTCTTATTTCAAGACAGGCATGGCTTTTTTTTTTAAATTTCAACAAATGTCATTATGTAAGACTTATAAATGGACCGAACGTGCCTTGGTCTCCTCTGCTTTTACTTTTTGACCATACTACGAGTTACAAGAAAGTTGGCTTGAGAACGGTTTCATGAATACGGGCGCTGTCGTTCTCATGTCGACTGGCTACCAGCCCCCAAGTTTTTATGAAGAAATTCCCTGCTGCATTTTACTACTAGCTTATACCCCCTAGAAGTTTGAGAACTATAGAATTAGACATTCAAGTGATCAAAATTAATTATTAGAGTTTATTTAAAAAATATATATAATTCAATATTCTAGAGACGGGAGCCAGTCTAGATCTCAATTAAGCATTTTCAAACCAATTCTCGTTACTCACTTATAAATCATGTCAAACGGTCATAAAGTCAAGTGTTAACATTGAAAACAGTTTTTGGAATCTAACACAAGTCTTTTCAATTTTGTTCCAAACCATTGACAAATAAGATTTAATTAATTATAATTTATAACCCGAAATTATGTTTGAGCACAATGCCCATGCTTAACCATGATGACGGTTTCATGAATACGGGCCCTATAGTCTCCCCTACCACGGACTAAGATTATAGATTATCTACCGTCACTGTACCCAAATCGGGACACTTGTGGGAAAGCGGCCCAAGAAACTGTCATTCAATGTAAAGAAGTACTTTTTATGTCTACAGTTTTCATTTGATGATACTTTTCATGACAATTAAACTGTATTAAGCTTTATTGGTTGGTGATTATCGTCACATGGACAATTTAAAGGTAAGAATTATTACTAGGCCTAAAACAAGACTTTCCTGATGTACGTGTTATATCTTTTTGGATATCATTTTCACAAGTCTATTTTATTAAAACTAATGCCAGTTTGGAGAAGAAATTTAATCAGAACCCTCGTTGACTCTACAATATTTCAACTATGCATATTTTCTGCCGATATTGATCGTTTATCGCCCCAATATTCGCCAAAATACTGGAAGTGTCTCTTTCAGGGTACAGTAATGCCGGTTCAAGTGCCTACATAATTGTATAACTCTGATGGTATTTCGCGTTCTTTTTATTGAACCAAGCCCCCGAAATATCAATTCGTGATAGAAATGAAAAGTGGATAGCATCTATATATAAAAAATGAACAAATATTTGGAACTGATAGTATGGTATAAAGGACATTGAAATTTATCTAAACAGTGTCCCGATTTGGGTACAGCAGAGACGTATATATATTATATGTAATGTTACGTCTCTGGGTACAGTGACGTTAAATCTGGGCCCCTTAAACATGTATGTCTCCGCAAGTAGTTAAGATATTTCAATGTGGAGCCACGGACTTAGAGATGCATTCCGTAGTGGAAAATATATCTAATTAGCCCTTAACAGAAGACATCTATATGTCAAAATGTCTCTGGTGCTAGGTCCAGAGGCAACTCGGGCTCACACCAGACATCTATCGGTTAACATAATATGTCAAAATGTCTCTGGCGCTAGGTCCAGAGTCAACTCGGGCTCACACCAGCCATCTAACGGTTAACATAATATGTCAAAATGTCTCTGGTGCTAGGGCCAGAGGCAACTCGGGCTCACACCAGAGATCTTACAGTTAACATAATATGTCAAAATGTCTCTGGTGCTAGGTCCAGAGGCAACTCGGGCTCACACCAGACATCTAACGGTTAACATAATATGTCAAAATGTCTAAGTCTGGTGTTGAGGCCAGAGGAAACTCGGGCTAATATATATAATATCATTTTAGAAAAAGACAAACTTCCATATTTGTGTATGCAAATAGTTATTTGGCTTCCACCGATGCATGCATTTTTTCCTTTTTTGTCATATAAGACTTGCACGACGCAAATATATTTTTTGTGTGTGCACGCAAGCAAATGTTTTTATTATAAGAAGAACTAAAATGACCGGGTATTTATTTGAGTGTTCACACAATTGTTTCGTATTTGTTTCAACATTATGATATGTTTATATCCAAACTTTATTTGTCAACCCGTGAATTATTTTTATGGTTAAGAAGGCGTTTTTTGTGATATAACAAAATATACCAGCCGGGATGTGTTTTTGATCAATTATACGAAACTATTGAAATATTCAAACCGAGGCGCTACCTAGCATTCCACAAACAACCGAGCAGGGCAGGTGCTAAGTAAAGACATCGCATACGAGTTATAACTGACGTTGCTCGACATATATATGGGACAGTATGCAGCTTAAGCACATGAAAGCTTTGCTGCAACCGCAGGTAAATGCCATTTGACTGGAGACTTGTTATCTTTTAGATAAACCCTACCTTGTACTTTCTTCGATGACTTGTTGTCGAGCAAATTATGATTTTGACAGTCGATTTCTGTTTTAATTTATTAGAGAATTTAAACTGTCATCGCCGATAGATTTGAAGTAGTAGAGTCAAGCGGGTTTCGAAGGTTTAAAACATCCAGCCCTGCTTAATTAATTCAAATGTCATACCCTTTTTTTCTAATTAGGAGTCCCCTCCCCCCCCTTAAAAAAATCTTCATTCTGTATCTAATAAACGCCATTCTTTAATTATTTTTTGTATTTATAGGATGGAGCAGCAAAAATATGTGCCATCACATGGGCAGCTAGTAACCAGAAGATGGCCGTCTGTACTTCAGACCGTGTGGTGATACTGTTTGATGAACAGGGAGAGAAGAAAGACAAATTCTCACTAAGACCAGCAGATTCCAAGGCAAGTGAATGCAAGACATTATAATAAAAGAATGAGAAAAAGAAATCTGTACTGTATAGTTGTTTATATTTCATGATTTTTTTTATTTATTTTTGTTTCCTTTCAAATTCAGTATGGAAAGAAGAGTTACACTGTGAAGGGGCTGGCATTTTCATCAGACTCATCCAAAATAGCTGTGGGTCAGACAGATAATATCATATATGTATACAAAATTGGAGAGGATTGGTAAGTTTAATATAAAATTCCTCAAGTAAAGCAGAAAGTAGTTACTGTAATTCAGAAGTTGGTCTGAAACATCTTTAAAGCAGAGTAAACAATGAATTATGCTCAATTTTAGTGCTCACCCATGTCCAACACAAAAATTCCTCACATGGTTGAATAAAGACAACTATGGGAATAAATTTGTTTTATTTGACTAATTAACTCTGAGAGTTACAAGTCTGAGACATCTTTGAAATGTATGATGACAAAGTTCGTTTCTATATTATGATTCTTAGGGGAGATAAGAAAACCATCTGTAACAAATTTGTACAACAGAGTGCAGTCACCTGTATGATCTGGCCAAATGAGCAACCAATAGTCTTTGGACTAGCTGATGGAAAGGTAAGAACACAATATATATTACTTGGGGTTGATCAGGAATACAAACCCATCAGAATTTGAAGTGTAATTCTGTGTAATTTCATATATGAAAAAAAAGTATGTAGATTACGCAGGCTGTCTTATTGTCACTAGGCTTAAAGAGAATAGAAATAAGAGGAACATAATTCAATATTTGCGTGCCTCTTATTTCACAATGGTTATACATATATGCAATTCAAAACTATTTTATATTTTTTTATATGGTAATTCAGTTTTGAAGATACATGATTTTAGATATACGTTGAAAAAAGAAAACTGTTTTTTTTTGTGACTTTAAAATTGAGATTAAATATTTGATCAAACATAAATGCACTGTATGAAATGGTATTTTGATGCTTCAAAAAAAGTTTTGAAATTAGAAAATCTGAAGTGGTTTCCTGTGTCTATACATGTTTCCACTTTGAAAATGTATTTACAAAATTTTATTATGCTATCAGGTGAGGGCGGCAAACATCAAAACCAACAAGTCTTCAACAATCTACGGAACAGACTCCTATGTCGTCTCTTTGGCACCGAAGTATGAAGAAATTTTGCATTGAAATATTTCTATTTATTCAAAGTCAAACATTCATATTTTTCAAATTTTATAATGTGAATATTTCAGATATGATGTCAAAGACTCAGTTGATACCATACCATTATTTATGCAAATGGTTTTTAATTATGAAAAAAAGTTCATGTGACCTTTCTGGTGACCTCTACTTTACTCAAATTATTATTGGCTTGTAGATTTTCTGGTTAGTTTTATCAGTACAAGTACATGGCAATATTTTGTTATGTTAGGATGTGCATTTGTATACAATTAACACTGTTCTTCCTTACTATCAGTCCATCAGGAAAAGGCTTTCTGTCGGGCCATGCCGACGGTGCCATTGTACGCTACTTCTTCGACGACGAGGGTTCTGGTGATTCCCAGGTTTGTTGATTTAAATTGTGTGTTGGCGTACATAGTATGAAGGAGCAGACTGCAGGAGGACACTTTTTGTGATCACCCACATAAAAATAATCATCTCATAATTATTAGTTATAGATGTATGTGCCTTCCTGGTCTTTCCTCATATTTATATGATATCTGGAATAGTCCAGAGTCATTAGTATGTGTATATGTGTGGATTAGAAATAAAGGCAAATCAATTTGCAGTTAAAAAAAAACTAGGAATAAAATGCTGCAAGGTATAATGACATGTAGTTTTGTTTATTAACTTAACCTTAGTTATCTTACAAATTACAAATGATCTATGGTAACAAAAGACCACTGACGACTGTACAGGGATTCAATTTTGATATTTAACTTTCAGGGTAAGGTCTGCACACATCCCTGTCCGCCTTATGCCTTGGCATTCTCCCAGAATTCAATCGTAGCAGCTGGATGTGACAAGAGAATTATTGCATATGGAAGAGATGGTAGAAGTTTCCAACATTTTGACTTCAGTCGTGAAAATGATGAACATGAATTTACAACCGCTGTCTGTAGTCCAAGTGGCCAGTCAGTAGTTATTGGAAGTTTTGACAAGTGAGTGTTTTTTTTTTATATTGTTAAATTATGTACAGATCTGTATACAGTATTCTCAGTATAAGTAGATGTTTGTATTCAATTTTGAATGAATATGTGTACTTGATGTATTAATTCACTAAATATATTGAAATAAATATTCTGTAATTATGAGAATTCTGGAAAATTGAGTTCAATTTTGAGGTAAAAACAAGAATAAAAACAGTGAAACTACACTTGGAAAGCTGTTTATTTAACCTTAAATACACAAATTAGAATATGTTGAAATAGAATTTGTATGTTTTTAGATAAAGATGATATTAGTTTATTTTTTTGTGAGCATGACACACCAATATCTCATATCTCTTTGACAAATTTGACCTCATTATCATATTAATATGAAATTTGAGGCTATCTTTTAAAATTTAAAAATGGATCAATTGATTTTGGCAGACTAAGAACTTTAAACTGGAGTCCACGGCGACAGATGTGGGATGAACCGAAGTTGAAGGAAATCAGAAACCTGTACACTGTTACAGCCCTGGCATGGAAGAAGGACGGATCACGAGTCACATGTGTTAGTATTTTTGGTCATCACATGTGTGAGTTAATATTGAAAGTTTAAGTGTCGTCACACATTGAAAGTGAAATGTCACCACACATGGAAAGTTCAAATGAAAGTCGAAGAACACATTGAAAGTTAGGTGTTGTCACATATTGAATGTGTGAGGTCATCACACGTACAATGTCAAAATGATATCAAACAATCTAGTTGTAAAACTTTTCCCAATTTTTATATTTAGCAAACAACTCTAAAGCATGTCAAAGAGAGTTATACTGGAGTCTTATACTACTTCTTGTGATAATGAGCTGCACAAAATTTTAAAAAAGAGCCTGCACTTAAAAGTGTGACAAACAACCTGATTGAGATAGAAATATGTCATTACAGGGAACTTTATGTGGAGGTGTTGAAATCTTCGACTGCTGTCTCAAGAGAACGATTTACAAAAACAAGTTTGAGATGACCCATGTTGGGCTGAGTCAGGTAAGACTATTTCTGTTAGTTGCATTACAATTTACCAGGAAACTTTTTCTCTGTGAAATAATTGCCCTTCACCAATAGGAAAACAACTTGCTAATGTCAATTTTGACCTTCACATTGGCAATTCTATTCATGGTAGGCTTACATCTACTAATAACTTGGTCATAATGATTATCATGCAGGGTAAAAAGCATACCGGTAAATGTTGAACTCTGGCAAACTCTTCATTGTATTTTACTAACAAGACCGTAATGTTGGAGGACATGTGTTCACGAACCTCTCTCAGTATCAGGGTTAGTCTGTATCATACCGCTAACAGGGTATCAAAATAGTTGTCAAATGTGTGCGATATGTATATTGATGCAAACCTTGGTAAAAGTATTGGTTGTCCATGATTAAATTTATGTATGCTTGAACAGAGGTTAAACAGATGTTTTGTTTTAAAGGTACATGTATTTGAATGAGCTGTCTGTAATTTTTCCTCAGGTGATCGTGAAAAACATGTCCAATCAGAGCCGAGTAGTACTCAAGTCTCACTACGGCTACGAAATTGATGAGGTCAGAATCATGGGCAAAGATCGCTACTTGATAGCACACACATCTGACACCATTCTTCTGGGAGACCTCACATCAAACAAACTTAGTGAGGTAAAATCTGAATTTCATTCATTTATCAATGAAATAATCAAATAACTTGATGTCTTCAAATATGAGCAGTTGGATACCATATTTTAAATTTTATTTCGTTGATATTACGCAAATTAATTATTTATAAAATATCCAAAAAATGTTGTTGATTGAAAAAAAGTCAAATCAAATTGAGACATTACTGTTGTTTGTGAGTGTTTGTTTTCTTTGTGAGGTGTACATAGGCCTGTTTAAATATGCTAACATTTAAAATTGTTAGTGTAAGAGGGCTTTTCTTTTGTAGATTCCTTGGCATGGTACAGGAGGAAATGAAAAATACTACTTTGACAATGAAAGTGTAAGTTAGAATGGTGCTATTTTGTTATTCAGACAGTATTATAAAAAAATATGACTGATATTGAATATGTAATAGAATAGTTTCAGTTTCTAAGATAGAATTAACTGATTGAAAAAAGGATGAAAATGTCATTCATGATATGTTATTTTAAAACTGGATGTAATATTTTGAATTACAAAACATAGCTGGAGGAAACATTTTGAATTTCGACTAGATTAGTTTGGAAGAAAATTTCAAAGATTACTCCGATTACTGAATTTGTCATGCAAATAGTATTTATTATCAATTCAAAACCCTTATGTGTCAAAAATGAACTTTTGTTATAATTTGATGCATTTCAGAGGTCTATATGTAAGAGACCATAATTCAAATACATGCAAGAATACCTATTTTGAAAAGATGTATAAACATAATGTAAATATCAGTTTTAAGAAGAAAATGTGAAAATTGATTTTAAACAGATTTGTTAAATTTGCACCACACAGTCTAGTACACCCATATCATGCAATAAAAAATATGAATTTATAGGTTTGCATGATTTTCAATGCTGGTGAGCTGTCTCTGATTGAGTATGGCGCCAATGAAGTTCTGGGATCTGTCAGGACAGAGTTCATGAACCCTCACCTCATCAGGTAGGTAGCACAGATTAGTTACATTCTGGCAGACATAAAAGATAAAAGTAGTCGCAAAATAAAAAATAACAAAAATTGAAGGTAGTCGATTGAAATTACATTATTAAGCAGAAGCTGCATCACAAACATATTTCGGCAGTTATCACTGATCCTGAGGGATTTTGTTACTCACAGTTATTATCAAGTACCAAAGTCAAATTGGCATAATTCACACAATCCACATTCAAAATACATGTTTAGAGGTTAAAATATGACCATTTCCATGTCATACTCTGTATCAGCCGAGACTTCCATATCAGCCTATGACCATTTCCATATCCTGCTCCATATCATCTCTTGACCTATATCTGCTCTCAATCTGATATTGGAGTCTTGAGCTGATGTGAAGTTGGATATTTAAATGGTCATATGGTAACCTTTTTATCATAAACTGCTCCTTACCATCAAAATTATTAATAATAACACAAAAAGCACACAACAAATTTGTATTTCATGTGTTTAATATCATTATATTCTACCTGAAATAAAATATAATGAACAATATAGCAAGTACAGATGGATATGCTTTGTGTACAATACAAGTTTGAGGTGAGTTTTTTTTAATATTAATGAACAAGAAGTTAAACGGATATGGAGCGTGCCATGCAGATATGGAGTGTGGCAGATAGGTATGGGTTGGTCTGAAATATGGCCAATGCATGGTTAGCAGTATTACACATGCAAACATCCCATATCACGGACATTTATGTGATAATTGTCATTAATGCATTTGTTTCATAGTGTGAGGTTAAATGAGAGGAAACAAAGAGGAGTGGAGGAAAACAAAAAGATTGCCTACCTCCTGGATCTCAAGACAGTGGCCATCGGTAAGCATTTGTTTGTTTAAGTGTATGTATGTTTGCTTAACTCCTGGATCTCAAGACAGTGGCCATCGGTAAGTATTGGTTTGTTTAAGTGTATTTTTCTTTACTTTCTTCCTCTTCAATACAACTGAACTTCACTTTTCTGCTAATGAAGGAAGAAGATCATTAAAGTCATGATTTATTTCACCTCGGTTTACCTCTGTATCTTTTACCTTAATTGCCTTTAGATTTTCAGTATACATAAATTGCTGGAAGAAAGAATGACATACTGAGATAGTGGTAGATTAAATGCACTGACCACTAAATGATGTATATTTATTCAACATGATATAATTTTTGACATTCCAGTCGACTTGATATCTGGTTTGACCTTGGGCCAAGTTAACCATGAGTCCAAAGTCGATTGGTTGGAGCTGAACGAGACTGGACGTAAGATGCTGTTCAGGGACAAGCGAATGAGGGTAAGCATTGTTATAATAAAGCTGTCATTTTATTCATCCATATATATCTGTTAACATTTTGATTAAAGCTTTTCATTGCTCCACTTTTGTTTTTAAACATTTCTTAGATGTGTTTGTCATGACCAGGCAATGTGTTGCATTACACCCCCAGATCCATAACTATTCATCAAGACAAATAATTAATGTTTATTTGCCAAAAAAACAGTGTAGCTGTTTTCTAGGAAACATATTTATATCAGGATTTGATTTTTTTTTTGCACATTTGTTTTTATTACATTATCTGGATTGAAATATTATATGCTTTACTGTTTTCAGCTCAACTTATATGACATTGAGACGAAACAAAGGACTACCATCCTCAACTACTGTTCATACGTACAGGTAGGTACATGACTGACGATGATACATGTTAATGTTATAAAAGAATTGTAGATCTCATGTTTTCATTGGTACATTGCTTTCCAAACTGTTAAAGTTTCAATGTGAAGCCTTGTACATTTTTAACAAGTTTTCATTTCAAAGATATATCGGGCAATCTTCAATTTTTTTAAATTTTAAAACACATTCTGTCTTCCCTTGATAACTATCTGTTGTCTCATGTTGATGTTTGGAATTGTCTCCCCTTAACAGTGGGTGCCAGGCAGTGACGTAGTTGTGGGACAAAACCGCACTAACTTATGTGTCTGGTACAACATTGACGCACCAGAACGTGTCACCATGTTCCCACTCAAGGTATGTAATTATCTAACTAGTGAAAAGTCCACCATTAGGGTGAAGCTCACTGACCTTTTTAAAAAAACCTCTTTTTGTAGGGATCAAATTAAAAAATAAGCTCAGAACTCATAGTTTTTAGCACTCTGAATTTTTGAAGTTCATAAATTAAGGGTTTTTAAGTACTTATCTGATTCCACAGTAGTTTAGACCTATATGGATATCCAACATTTCGTCCCCGAGCAGCACCATTGAGTCCTAGGACAACACAGCTGTAGGATGCAATGTAACTAATGTTGGCATGCTGTATCGATTACTAAACTTTAAAGGTGCAGTCACCTTCATGTGTGTTACATTAATCTTTCAGGCAATGGTGTTGAACTAAAGCCAGTAAAACCTGGCTCTGGAATCATATGTGAAATGAAAGCAATAAAAAATAGATACTTTCTGTTTAGGATAGTGTAGTAGTAGTTAAATTGATAAAAGCAAAAATGATGGTTGTTTTTATGACGTTCAGGGTGACATTGTGGACCTGGAGAGGACAGATGGTAAGACAGATGTGGTGGTCAATGAGGGGGTGACCACTATCTCCTACACACTGGACGAGGGGCTGATTGAGTTCGGCACAGCCATTGACGATGGCGATTTTGAAAGGTAAGATAAAGGATTAGTGTACAAGTGATATTATATTTTACTGTACAGCAATGGACATGTAAATATTTCATGCATATCACATATATTAATTATTATTATTTGACATTCATATTGACTTCATATCGTGATGCATGTCTGCAAATGGCAAAGTGAGTTTATACCATCGCACAATGTCCATCCTCAGCTCTTTTATAGGTAGAGAACAGAAGAAAGAGATTTTGACTATATTTGTATGAAGCAGCTCTCAGCCATTGGAATTGAATGTTGTATTAATGAAAATGAGGTCTTTAAAGGCAGAGGGTCGAGGCCCAATATGGGAGGTGGGTTTAATCATTTAGAAAAACTCTTCATGCAGGAAAAGTGAGAGGATTTGAATCTAACTTGATATTTTCAATTTTAACCAAGAGTGCTAAGAATGCTACCGTTACTGCTCCGACAAAGTGTTGCCATTGTAATTGTTTGGGCCAGTAAGAAATTTATGATGGCAACCATGTTCTGTGATTCTGAAATCAACTTATCTTCTACTTCAGGGCCTTTGTTTTAAAACGTGATACTCGTTTGATCCTGCTGAAATGTAGTTTGTTCAATTTAAAAATTGAAAATTATTTTGTGATATTAATAATTTGTCTGCAATTTTTCCCATCAGGGCTGTGTCTTTCCTAGAAACCCTTGAGATGTCTGCAGAGACTGAGGCCATGTGGAAAACACTGAGCAAACTTTCTATGGAAGATCGTCGACTACACATAGCAGAGAGGTAGGAGTTAATTCTTACATTATATCATCCTCAATGCCACTCATGTGCACCATATACATCGCTGATATTTTCCTTGGATTTGTTGTTAAAGGTTTGAAGTTTAAGGAAATTACAATAAGGGTTACTCTGGAAATAAATGTGTATTGGGGTGGATGGGTGAAGTAAAGAAGTGTTTGTTTTTGCCCCCCCCCCCTTTCATCTCCACTCGAGAAGTAACCATTGTCTGTTCTTTTAATATTATATAAACTAATTATCTTGATACTTTTTTGCTACTATTAGTAATCTATTGTACTTTTCAGATGTTACTCTGCTCTGGGAGATATAGCCAAAGCTCGGTACATGAAGGAAACATTTAGGATAGCAGAGGAGATCGCACAGTCCACTGTAAGTGATAGGGAACACTGCAGAAATTGCTTAGGGTTGCAATTTGTCAAATGAAGCATACAACCTCTGCATTATACCAATGGTGTATCAGATTTGTTGGTGAAAATAAAGTATATGTTCTATTTGTGTGAAATAGAACAATTTTGTTATGTTTCTCTGTAACTTTAACCAGTCGCAGAGCAGTGCTTGGTTTATAAACAATATTTATTGCGACGTCATAGTCAACTGGAAGGCAGTCATATGCTGGTTTGTTTGACATAGCATCGGTGATTTTAATTTCCCATTTCTACTGTTTGTGTGGCAGTTAGAAATGTAATAATTACAATTGTGTTTTTACAAATGTCAGTTTTATTTCAACTTATGGAATGAAAATATTTCATAATTTTCACTTCTGATAAAAATCAGTGAATTCAACCTGCTGTTTGGACTGTCTCGGTCAGTGTACAGTAAGACTATGTTTGGTTGTAGGGTGGGGATGGATTCAGTAACTACAGAGTTCGGGCAAGGTTCTCCATCATGGAGAAGAGGTACAAAGAAGCAGAAGGTATCTACTTGGAACAGGTATGTACCCTACAGTCACTGAATGTGAATTCTTATTACTAATTTCGTTGAACAAGTTTGAACAAAATCATGGTGATATAATTTCGAAAAGAACTAGACATCTTTGTGCTGAAGTTCAAGTAAATTGCAGATGTTTATGATGAAAAAGAGAAGTGCATTTTGTTGTTATGATTGTAAGGATAGAAAATTATCGTTTCTTTGCTCTATATAACAGAACCATGTTGACGAGGCCATGGAGATGTATCAGGAAATGCATATGTGGGACGAGGCTATAGAGGTGGCAGAGGCCAAGGTAAGCCCCACTTATATAGTACATTTTTATGTCACATACACAAGCAATAACATTAGGATATCATGTTTTGACCTAAAATAAAACTGGGGAAGTTAATTTGGGATAAAAGGAAAATGTCAAATTTGTATCTGCATGTCCAAAGTTAAAAGAAACTCCACAGACTAGATAAAGAGTTTAGGATAAAATTCTCAGTCAACGTTAAGTGAAACTTTACATGTTACTCACAGTAACTCATTGTTATAATTTGACAGAACCACCCAGAGCTGGATAACCTGAAAAGGAGCTATTATGGCTGGCTGATGGAGACTGGACAAGAGGAGAAAGCAGGCGAGGTATTTATATTACAGCTCCCTATTATAATAAAAACACCTTAGGGAAAGCTCTGGCCAGCAGAGATACGTTATAAACAATTCCCTTGACTTTTTAAATTCATTTTTACACAATGTTAATATAATGTACATATAATTGTATTTCCTTGTGTGATCTGGCGCTGTGATCCGAGGTATGGTACCAGACATAAGCTGTGTAATTGTTACAGGTTAAAGAACAAGAGGAGGACTACATGGCTGCCATTAACATGTACATGAAGGCGGGACTACCAGCCAGAGCTGCCCGACTCGCCACAAGTCGCGATGTAAGTAGCAAACCATTCACCCTTCACTAGTAGAATACATATTGGCCCAGTGTAAATGTCACCCTTCACATGTAATTACAATGTATTGTATGTTGTGTACTATAAATATGCCCTTATTCCAAAGGGCAAAGAAATAAAATTAAACTGCAACAAAGATTTCCCGGTATACAGTATTGTCATCAGGTAGCTTAGGTGACTATTTTGATATATGTTAACAAGTTGTAATATTGACCATTGGGAGATACCAAACAGTCATTATCTTCTACTGAGGTGAATATCAATAGGGAACTAACCTGAATATTGTATTATTGACCTACAACATAAACAGCAACCCCTCCGGCACAAACATGCACGTATACACAAAACACATGGAGACACGTCCTAGCTGTTAATAGGACGTTAAAGTAAATGAAACCAAAACCAAACCAGCTATGTCTTCTGTATAGTTTACTTAACTATATAACACAGACACTTTGTTTTGTGGTTGTATATTTCCAAACTGTTTCATTTACAAATTTTCATGGTCAGCTGGTAGTGTAATTTGTATTTTGTAGCGTTGCACACATATTAGTTTTATTATCATTGCACAATTAACTGTTTTCCCAAAATTTTGAAGGTTAAAGTTTATACATATTTGTGATGAAGTAGATCATTATTGATTCAGCCAGCTTCATTGAAAACTAGAGTGGGTGTAATTTGAAATGGCTGGATTATTTTGGGACATTTCTCTATTGGAAAAGAGAAACTGTCCTCACAAACAGTGGCTAGATAGAGATTGAGACATTGGATTGGTGGTATTTGGGTTAAAAAGGTGGGCCTTCCAACATTTTCATAGCCTGAGATTATTGGACCAACACTAGGGTTGATCCCTGTTGTATGTATATTTTTTACTTAAATGCCAAACCAATTTATTTGGATGTTGTCCTCATGTCTCTGTCCAAACATTGCTAAGTATATGGTTCTTCAACAAATGGTTCAGCCTTGGAAAAGTTGTAAATATATCGTATTTTGATGTCAGTAAAATATTTTCTATTTTGATACAGGAGCTGATGTCAAATGCAGATCTCATCAGCAGAATTGCATCAGAGTTAATCAAGGGAGAATTATTTGAAAGGGTATGTACTTCATTTTACTATTTAAATGATTAATTAATGAATAAAAGACTATTTGTGAAAGCTACTAATTTGTATATCTCCAACTTAGAAGACCTTCATTCACATATTAGTATTTGATTGAGATATTGTGATCCTTATGAAGATGTATGTATGAGATATTGTGATCCTTATGAAGATGTATGATTGAGATATTGTGATCCTTATGAAGATGTATGTATATGGAGAAGTTAAAACTGAACAGTTCTGTCTTTGGGGAGAGCTATACCGTGTACATGTATACTACTGTACACTAAACATCTCTTTATTGATAGATCAATTAAAGTGCTGATATTATTATACCTCCTACAACAATTCTGTAAAAAGATAATAAGACACACACTTGCTGAAAACAGGGATGTGTGTAAGTTAACAGATCTATATAAATGGTTACGAGGTTTCTTTACACTTTGTTTGGTACATTGTTAGGCTGGAGACATGTATGAAAAGATACACGACCAACAGAGAGCTATGGACTGCTTCAAAAAGGGAAGAGCTTATCACAGAGGTAAACAGTTGTTAATGATAAACTGATGTGTCTGACAAGTGCAAAAAATACACAATATGAAAAATTAACTTTTACACTTGAAAGAATGATTTGATTTGTTCCTTGTAACCCTAAACATATTATAGAACAACCTGAAGTCTCCAGTTAAAAAAGATTCAGTTGTCAGATGTTTTGATTATAAACAGTTTTAACTTGTGTATTTATCTGGAGGATATGCATTGCTGATGTAAATGGGATTATATAGACACCAGCAGTGACTCCTGTGTTAAAATTTCATGACGTTTAGCTTTGTTACATCTGTAGTTGTAAGTAAACTATTGATATCTACTGATATGTTTTAGTTATGTGTGTAAATGGGATATCAAACTAAAAAGTTCTAAGTTCAATTCAGGTTATATTCATGGCCAGTCAACATGAAATAGGGCTACTCTTTGATCCTCACTTGTATGTACTTTTTAATGTTTTTTGCTTTTCGCAGCTGTAAAACTGGCTCGGAGTTCATACCCGAGCGAAGTGGTGAAGCTGGAGGAGGATTGGGGAGACTATCTGGTCCAGCAGAAACAATTAGATAATGCCATCAGCCACTTTATAGAGGCTGGGTTAGTATGATAAGAGTTATTGAATTTGGGTTAGTTTCTTCAGGCAGCATTCCTATATTTTGTCTTTAGCTACACTTACCTTGTAAAATAATTTACATATTCTTGAAAACTGCCTGATGTAGACTTTGTTGAGCTGAGATAAGAGGTCAGGGTCACAAATGAGAACAAATGACAGGCCAGGGTCACAAAGAGATGTAAGGGTCACAAATGAGAGGTTTAAATATTTTCAAAAATCCAATACTGAGGTTATTCTCTTATCCATGTAGAATTGATCAATGTCTTTTTATCATCGTAACCATTCATTAATTTCAGGGCAACAAAGAAGGCTGTGGAAGCAGCTATTAACTCGAGACAATGGGCCAAGGCTGTACAGATTCTGGAGCTCCAGGACCCCTCCATGTCTGCCAAGTACTACAAGAAAATAGCTGACCACTATGCCTCAGTCGGCGAGCTTGAGGTGAGAAATAGGGATAACAGAAAGCTAGAGATTTTACATTATGCAAAGTGTTCTCAATAATGTTTTAAGAAAAATTTAACACAGATCCAGCAATTCAATCATTAAATGTTGATTTTATAAGATGCAGTAGCTGTGGTTACTTTTTTTTAGATAAAAATGTTCCACTTCTACCATTTATGTAAAGTACACATTTCTAACTATAAATCTTAACATGTTGATGACTTGTCATTTCAGACGGCTGAGCGATACTATGTGGAGTCTGGCTGTACTAGAGAGGCAGTTGACATGTACAACAATGCTGGCAGATGGGAAATGGCTCATAAAGTAGGTCAATAAAACTGGTATAGATGGACAAAAAATGAGATTTCCAGCAAGAGATTGTTTAATTTAAAATTTGAAATTCTTAACTGTATATTAAACACAATTATTACCTCTGTGTTTTAGCTGGCATCAGGTTATATGAAGGCGGATGACGTGGCCACATTGTACATCTCGCAGGCACGACAGCTCGAGGACCAGGGCAAGTTCAAAGAGGCAGAGAAGTGAGTCCCATTTTTCTAGTTCATTCAATATCTGGATCAATGATTCAGACAGGAGAATATTAGTTAATCGCTATTATGATATAGATGAAATTTTAGTTTCACCAATTTTGTTATTTGTAAAGATTTCATATATTTTTAACTTTCTGATGGAGAGATCACATATTTGTGTACTTGCTAGATTTCCATATTTGTAAAACACAGGTGATATGGTTACAAAATAAGATACACACACATGTACAGTAAAACTGTTTTGTTATTTGAGCCATGAAAATAACCCCACCGCAAAAACAATACTGCATGCTATATTTACAATTTAAATATCCAGATTGTATGTAGCTGTCCAAGAGCCTGATATGGCCATCACGATGTACAAGAAGAACAAGATGTATGGTGATATGATTAAGTTGGTGAAGACTCATCATCCAGATCTGGTCCAGGACACACACCTCCACCTCGCCAAGGTCAGACCACCAGTCTTTATATTCCAAGTCATAAAACCTCAATAATCAATAGCAGTCTATAGTACATAACCATATCAAACGGAATCTTTCTGTTGATGAGTTGGTAACACTAGCTGTGATTTTGCAGGAACTGGAGGCAGAGAATAATCTGCGACAGGCAGAGCATCACTATCTGGAGGCTGACACGTGGAAGGCCGCTGTTAACATGTACCGAGATCAGGATATGTGGGACGAGGCTCACAGGGTATGTCATTTACATTTAGTTGTACATCTACATATAAAACGAGCTGAGTAGCAGTAAAATGTAAAATTTAGAGGAATCGTTAATAAATTTGTGATGGCACCACATGCTGAACAAGTAAGATGTGAAGGTAGATCTGTAGGTTTTGATTGATTCTTCCCGCAAGTTTCTTTACAATGTTCAAATATGTAACCTACTAGGTATTTTGACTTAATTACAATTTAAAAAAAAAAAAATCAATTCACAGTAGAGCAAATCTGATGCAATTTTACAAAACCTAGCCGACTAACATAAATGACCGATGAAGTATTATTTAGAGCAGCTGAATGTGTAAATGTGCTTGTCTTTATATAGGTGGCAAAGAATGCTGGCGGCGCAACTGCTGCCAAACAAGTTGCCTATCTGTGGGCGAGAAGTCTAGGTGGAGACTCCGCTGTCAAGCTCCTCAACAAGTTTGGTCTACTGGAGGCAGCTATTGACTATGCTGCAGAAAATTGGTATGTTATCACATTTAATTATACTGCTCCTCTGAAAAATATTCTGTAGAAGTTCAATTTATCCTCTGATAAATAACAAGTAAATATTAAAAATTTGTATGGTGTAATATTTGTATTCATCTATTGGAATGTTTTCAAAAATGTTATTAAAACAATGGAGTGAAGAAACTGTATCATATTAATTCATTGACTTATACAGTGTACTGGGAAAATCTACGTGTACATTGACTTATACAGTGTACTGGGAAAATCTACGTGTACATTGACTTATACAGTGTACTGGGAAAATCTACGTGTACATTGTCTTATACAGTGTACTGGGAAAATCTACGTGTACATTGTCTTATACAGTGTACTGGGAAAATCTACGTGTACATTGTCTTATACAGTGTACTGGGAAAATCTACGTGTACATTGTCTTATACAGTGTACTGGGAAAATCTACGTGTACATTGTCTTATACAGTGTACTGGGAAAATCTACGTGTACATTGTCTTATACAGTGTACTGGGAAAATCTACGTGTACATTGTCTTATACAGTGTACTGGGAAAATCTACGTGTACATTGTCTTATACAGTGTACTGGGAAAATCTACGTGTACATTGTCTTATACAGTGTACTGGGAAAATCTACGTGTACATTGTCTTATACAGTGTACTGGGAAAATCTACGTGTACATTGTCTTATACAGTGTACTGGGAAAATCTACGTGTACATTGTCTTATACAGTGTACTGGGAAAATCTACGTGTACATTGTCTTATACAGTGTACTGGGAAAATCTACGTGTACATTGTCTTATACAGTGTACTGGGAAAATCTACGTGTACATTGTCTTATACAGTGTACTGGGAAAATCTACGTGTACATTGTCTTATACAGTGTACTGGGAAAATCTACGTGTACATTGTCTTATACAGTGTACTGGGAAAATCTACGTGTACATTGTCTTATACAGTGTACTGGGAAAATCTACGTGTACATTGTCTTATACAGTGTACTGGGAAAATCTACGTGTACATTGTCTTATACAGTGTACTGGGAAAATCTACGTGTACATTGTCTTATACAGTGTACTGGGAAAATCTACGTGTACATTGTCTTATACAGTGTACTGGGAAAATCTACGTGTACATTGTCTTATACAGTGTACTGGGAAAATCTACGTGTACATTGTCTTATACAGTGTACTGGGAAAATCTACGTGTACATTGTCTTATACAGTGTACTGGGAAAATCTACGTGTACATTGTCTTATACAGTGTACTGGGAAAATCTACGTGTACATTGTCTTATACAGTGTACTGGGAAAATCTACGTGTACATTGTCTTATACAGTGTACTGGGAAAATCTACGTGTACATTGTCTTATACAGTGTACTGGGAAAATCTACGTGTACATTGTCTTATACAGTGTACTGGGAAAATCTACGTGTACATTGTCTTATACAGTGTACTGGGAAAATCTACGTGTACATTGTCTTATACAGTGTACTGGGAAAATCTACGTGTACATTGTCTTATACAGTGTACTGGGAAAATCTACGTGTACATTGTCTTATACAGTGTACTGGGAAAATCTACGTGTACATTGTCTTATACAGTGTACTGGGAAAATCTACGTGTACATTGTCTTATACAGTGTACTGGGAAAATCTACGTGTACATTGTCTTATACAGTGTACTGGGAAAATCTACGTGTACATTGTCTTATACAGTGTACTGGGAAAATCTACGTGTACATTGTCTTATACAGTGTACTGGGAAAATCTACGTGTACATTGTCTTATACAGTGTACTGGGAAAATCTACGTGTGCATGTATTAAACTTTAAAACGACTAATGTTTCTTTCAGTGCATTTGATTTTGCTTTTGAGCTGGCACGTTTAGCCAACAAGAACAAGCTGCCAGATATTCATCTAAAACATGCAATGTATTTAGAAGACGAAGGGCGATTTGCAGATGCTGAACGCGAGTTCATTCAAGCCCAGAAACCAAAAGAGGCTGTTCTTATGTAAGTCAAGTCCATGTCTTTCTAAGTGTTGTTGTCTAATTTTAGAACAGATTTTTTTTTTACTTGATTCTGTGATATATTTTTCAATAATTATTACAGGAAACTGAAATGAGTTTAATATTGTGATGTAATTGCAAATGTTTATAACCATGTCAGCAATGCCAAAAATAGTGCCTCCAAATCAAACCCAAAGCCCTTGCCACATAAAATTTCATTGTTTAATTTTTATATCTAGCAGAAACTGTTTTAGTTTTCAAGAAATTCCCTAAATGATTTTAGAAAGTTTTTCTTCCTTTACACGTACACATTATTATATGAAAAAAATGTGTGGAGAGTTAAGTTTTCTTAATATTGGAGTTTGGATTTCAACAAAATTCCATTGTTGTAAACTTTACCTCACCAGTAATAATGTTTTCTTTTATTTCGTGGTAAACTGTAAATAATTCACAATCCACTTGTTTGGTGTTAGGTATGTACACAATCAGGACTGGGACTCCGCCCAGCGTGTGGCCGAGTCACATGACTCTGACTCTGTAGCCGATGTCCTGGTGGGACAGGCAAGGTTTGCATTTGAGGAAAAAGATTTCACAAGGGCCGAGTCCTACTTACTACGCGCACAGAGACCGGAGCTCGCAGTCAAGTACTACAAGGTAAAACATAGACTACAGGTTAAGTAACAGGTATAGGCTACATAGCTAGTGAAATTTGGACTGTTTTGTTTATCATGTTCCAAATGTTTTGACAGGGCGGATCAAAGTTGTTAATTTATGAAATAGTGACAGACTTAGTGGTCTACGCTTATTTTCTGGTGAACCTTGACAAAGACTTTAAAGGCGAGCATTAATATTTGCATGTTTTTCAAGATTGATCCCCAAAAATGATTCCTTTATAAGAAGTTCCAATGTGAAACTATAGAACATTATAACATGTTTTGTGGGTAGCACTGATGACAGGGTTTTGTGATGAAACCTGACCTGTGCTGGTATTCTAAATTAGAGAGTTTTGATTAAGCAATAAGAAAAATACATTATGTAAATGCTGGAGTAACTATTAGGACTATTTCAGAAATAAATATACTTTCGGGGAGGGACATTCTATTTTGACCTCCTTCACCCACTTTTAATTTCTCCTTTGACCCACTGTAGACATGTAGTCACTGTTAGATCCCGCCTTATCCATTTATTAATATTTACAAATACCTCCCTGTTCCCTTATATATCCATACCTGGAACAGACCTTACAGTAAAACATGTTTATAATATTATAATAGACAACACAACACATTTGTCAACACAACAATTTAAATTTTGAATTTTGAACAAAAAAAATATATTCACTGTAAAAGTTCTTGGCCTTGTAATGTTGTATTCTCTGGAGTGACAATTATGTGTTGTTGTTGACAGGATTCGGGTATGTGGCAGGACGCCCTGCGGGTGTGTAAGGAGTATGTACCTCACAAGTTACAGGCACTTCAGGATGAATATGACCACGAGATGACCGACAAATCTACAAAGTTAGTTCATTGATTTAGTTTTAATTTCAAATGACGATTATTTCTGAAGTCTCATCTTTTGAAAGTTTATGATGTTATTGTCTGTTGTCAAGGATTTTGTTACGAGTTACTATGCTGTAATTGCAGAAGACATACGATGACAATATACATGTTTAGAGTTTGTACTTGATAAACTGACTGACTGTAAATATATATATAAACTTCAAGTAAATTGGGTGATCCTGCATTACAGAGGTGCAGAGTCCATGGTACAACAGGCACGTGAGTGGGAATCATCGGGAGAGTACGCCAGGGCCATAGAATGCTACCTCAAGGTCACTCCACAGCTCATCAGTGACTTGAATGTAGTGGAAAAATGCTGGCTCAAGGTTAGACAATCTTACGACAAAGGAAACAAATTGAATGTTTTGCAGCCATAAAATTATACTAATATAGTTGGGTTTAAAAAGCTGCTGTTACACTTTCCTGGGAGATAACTCTTAACATAAATCTCATGTATGTGACATTGTATAATGTATAAGTAGTACATGTATATATATCTTGAACTACTTAAATGAACACAATCTCATGATATTGTACTGAAAATTACCAGGCTGGTGAACTTGCCATCAAATTCCTGGGACAGAGTAAAGCTCAGACTGTGGTTGAGATTGTGGCACCAAAGTTAGCCGAGATGAGAAAGCACGGCAAGGTGAGTGTCAATTACTATCTAGAGTTCATGTTGAGTTTTATGTTCATGTATCTTGTTAGATTTCTACCCCTTTGACAGATCTCAAATCAAATGAGATTATTTGTAATATATTCAATAGGTATACATACCAAACCTGGTAAATGTTGTCCATATTCTGCATTTGATAAAAAATTGAGTGATTGGAGAGGGGGTGGTCAAGAACTAATTATGATACATGGAGGTATCAATTGAAGAGAGAGAAATAAGATTGAATGTGTTTCTTATTCTAAGATAAAATATATATGTGCAAAGATCTGTCTTCTTTTGATAGTTCCAGCTTGTTGTCATCTATGTAACTTTTACTTCAATAACAAATATCATAAACTAGACTATCGCTGTATGTCTCAGTTAAAGCAAACTCCACAAGCTTCAATTACATAAAAATGAAAGAGTGTTTTATAACAAAAACATAACATAATGGTTTTCCTAGGCGGCCGAACTTTACCTCAGTGCTGACCTGATTAAGGAGGCTATAGACATGTTCATATCTGGGGAGGACTGGAACAAAGCCAAGAAAGTGGCGAAGGAGTTGGAACCAAGGTAATCAACACTCATATCAGAAATCTTTAGTTCCATTGGAGGTCTGTGTTTGCACATGTCTTACTCCAGTAGTCTGAACATTTATTTTTGTCACATGAATGTACATATTAATACAGGTATTTATTTTTTTGACAACTATTTTGTTTGCTTGTTGACGCTTCAATTTGGAACCTTTGTATACACACCATACCTGTTTTTGATTACTGCAGACTGGAGGCCTACGTGGACGAACGCTATAAAGACCATTTAAAAAACGAAGGAAAGGCAGAGGCTGTAAGTATATTAGGTTTATGATAGTGTACAGCTTGTATGACACCGGTGCATGCTCTGTTATAGGTGGGAGTGGGGATGAGAAATTGAACTAAACAGTAAACCTTGTTGTACTCCCGCCAGTTGTCCAGTTGAAACTTGGCATTATAAAGAAGTCTGGCCCTATATTACATGAGATAAACAATGCAATGTTTAACTAAGAAACCACAAGAGGACCAAAGAACATATTTGCATTTTTTTAAGTGACAACTGAAACAATCTGCAATGTATTTTACTTGCCCTACATTTGTAACCTAAAATGAATGCAGATAGTCTAAATTTATATTTGATTTTACAATTAAATATGAACAAATTATAAGATATATTCACAATATTTCGGTTAAGTAAGGTTTACCAATAAACATGTGATTAAAATTAAATATATATAAATATTGTGTAAGGGATGGATTGCTTCAGAATTTTGACAAAATATCTTGTCCACACTGGCTACTTCTGCTTGTATGTGTTTAAATGTATATATGTATAAAGGAACTTGCTGATTTACAGTTGGCTAGTGTTGACGTGGTGGGGGCGCTGGATATGTATGCTGGCAAGGGTGAATGGGAGAAGTGTCTACAAACAGCAGAACAACAGGTAAGGTCTACCTGACGATCGACTCTGAAGTTAGAAATCTGGTTATACAGTATTTTATCAGTAATTGGTCTCTTAATACTCGGGGAATAAGTCCACCCTATTTTATAGATGAGAATCTTGCTTGGAATTCAGCCCTTAGTGCATAAAGACCATTGTGTTGGAATATGATCAGTGACCTACTTTTGAAGGACTGGATAATCTCCCACCCTTCACATGTGTGTCTCCCATTTTAGCCGGGAAAGATCTGCTTTTCGCCCCCTAGGAGGAGATAGCCTCGTGCCGATTAGCACGTGTTCAATTGTGACGTCATTTAAATGTGTAACAGGTATTGGTGACGTCATCAAAAGTAAATGACAATATTCATACCCCATACATGTTTTTGTTTACAAACACGGCAGACTACTATTGGTGGAGTTGTGACTGAAATAATAGGATGGGAGAAAAATAATCACCCCCTACCTTGAGGGTGTGACAGAGAAATCTTCAACCCTCAGGGTGATGTTTTTTTGTTGTTGTCTAACCCCTGGCTCTCTGCCGAGGGTTGCACATCTAGGTTGTATTTTTTCATTCAGACCCTTTTTTTATACGCCTGTCAAATTTGATGGGAGTATTATGGTATGGCATTGTCCGTCCGTCCGGCATAAACGTTTGTTTGTCAGGCAATCTCCTACTACATTTTTCAACAGATCTCTTTGAAACTTGGTATACATTATAATCATGATATGAAGTTGTGTCTCCCTTAAAAGAATTTTGATTCAACGATTTTTGCATAAGTTATTACCCTTTGTTCATTTCAGTATTTTGACGTTTTGTCCGGAGATTTTCTCCTACATTTTTTATAGCATGTCAGCTAACCACTCTTAGAATGATGCAAATCTTATTTCAATGTAAGAAAGTATGAAAAATCCTTGTCCAGACAACTCTTCCTAAACTAATTATCAAAATGTATGTTATACAATGTAAATATATATATACCTTATATTGTGTTTATGTGCGAGGTATAATAAAAACAGATTGACTTCATAAAGAAGTTGTGTACCTGGGTATGATTTATACATTTTGTTTTCATCTCAACCCTTTTTAATGGAGGACAGTTATTCCCTTGATGCTTATTGTGGGATGCGTAGGGTATCTAAGTTAGCCTCAGGATAATAGTTCTTGTTATTATATCTGACAGAATCCAAAGGTGCTACACAAATATGCTGCCCTGTATGCCACTGAGCTCATTAAGGGAGGAGACAGTCGCAGGGCTATGGAGATTTATGTCAAGTATGGTGCACCCGCTAATGCCCAGGTAAGCTCAAAACTTTGTTCGTCTCTAGTATTGGTATACATTTACCTTTTTGTAATTGTTTAAAAGTTCAAAGTAATAGTTTTTTTAAGTGAAGTTTTCAAATTATTATTATCGAAATAGGTTTAAGAAGCACTAGTCACATTTTGTTTAACCAGCAGACCTCGCTTTCACAAACATTTCTTAGCTTAAATAAAAAATTTTTAATTAAAAAAATGCTTTTCTTTGGGGAAATTTGAATTAAGAAATCTCTAAAAGTTAATATGTTTTGTGAAACTGGAAAGTCAGAGAACTTTTTTGATTTAAAAGGTCGGATACATTGGATAATGATGTTTTACTTGTAAAATCAAATGTATTAAATTTGTGTCCTAAATAAAATCAATACAACATGTTTTTTTCTTTTCTTGCTGTTTTACAGAATTTCAACATATACAAGCGTATCTTTACTGATATAGTAAACACACGTGACTTGAATCGACCAGAAGCCTACAAAATCTGGGCGGATCTGAGGGATGTCTTCTATGACTTGGTGAGAGAATTAATACAGTTCTGTTCTCTGTTAAACATTAGTATAACAAATCTAATGATATCTGAAATGATCTTAATTGTGTCATATAAACTTTCATTTTAGACAAGGATTTATAGAGAGAAAATCCAACACAGGGTAATAGATTATCCTGATAATCATGACTGACATCCACTTCAGTAAATTAATTCTCAGGTATGATCCATTTTAGATCATACTTGAGGATCTCCGTACCACTGCCAAAAACAGTAAACAAGGAATTAAAGACTTTTTCCAGATTGACTCGAGTGCTTTGATAAATCATTTCTGAAAAAACGTACCACGCGGATCATTCATGGAAAAAAAAATGAAGTTGAAATAGACGGAAGAAAACATAACCACTCCCTACTACCCATTAGATCTCAGTCAGTCAAACAGACACTATGATGATCAGAGGTCCAAGGTGTGAACCCTGGTCTTATTTCGAGGTGTGTTCACACTCGGAATACTGTTTTATATTGATATATAGTGCTCAAGAAAATTTGGACAATATTTATAGTGTTACAAGAAGCATTTAATTAATTATATAATTAGAGTGTATTATTTTAACTTAGATCTATTTAATCTCTAGATTAAAAAAGTTAATGATTTTTCAGTTTTCAGTAAAAAGTATCCATGGTTGAGTCCCTATAATTACATAATGTACTTCTGTGCAAATAGTTGCTTAAAATCTATGACCGTTATCCCTGTGTAAAACAACTCTGAGTCCTGTGGTGAAATAGATGCTTTAATGGAATAGGTTTTTGAAGTTTTGGTATTGAATATACACATTTACTTAATATATAATGTTAAAATTGTTTGAGTCGAGTTGATATTATTTTTTATATAACACCAAAACATGTATATTGTAAAAAGGAAAAAAAACACCTCTTTGTATAACTTGCTCTTGTCTTCAGCTGATCTGAAGTATGAAGTCCTGTATAATGAGCATAGTCAAGTACAAGACAATAAAAGAAATCATGTTTCGATTGAGTTTTTATGATCAGTGAATGTTTGTTTGACGATTCCAGTGTGAGAACATGGGCAAGTCACAGGACAGTAATTCCCCACAACATGAGGAGTTTGAATGGATGTTACTTATCTCTCATTATTATGCGGCGCGGTCTGTAGCCATGGCCCACAAGTCCCTGGACAGTGTGGCCACCAAGCTGTCCGTATCACTGCTCCGCCACACAGACATCATACCTGCTGACAAGGCCTTCTACGAAGCTGGCATGATGTGTCGGGTACGTCAACAGTAATCACAAACTAATCAACAGTTGTTTTGCTGAAATGTTGAATTGCTAAAATGTTACTGCACATTCAAAGTTTGTGGAAAAAGCATCACTTTAAAGTTGCTGAGATTTATTAACACCGACAAATAAATCAGTCTACACGGGCCATTGGTTAATTCTTTTATTTAATGAGTCACTGATTTACAGAGAGATAATATAATAAGAAGTACCTGTGAACTGTTGCTTTGCTTGAGTATCCATCCTCAGAACTTTGTCAATATTTTCTCTAAATAAATATTTCTTCCGAACATTAAAACCTAGAGACATGATATAAGGGTGTAGCTTGCTGTGGTGGAGGGATATCAACCTTGTTCAGATAAATGATATCGACCTACTTAGATGGTCACAAGGGTTAAAATATGCAACCCCCCCCCCCTTCCAATACCCCAATATTGGCAATTATATTTATTTCTGAATGAAAGAGAAATCACTGATGCTTAATATACATTTAAGATGGAGAAAGATAGATAATGCCTGCTGAGCTGTGTTGTGATGTTTTGGTAAAAGGAGATATGCATTATCATTTCAGGCCACTAATCAAGAGAACATGGCCTTTGTGTTCTTGAACAGATTCCTTGATATCTCAGAGGTAGGTATTATCAACTCTAAATTATTATTCCCTCGCAACGAAAGTGAGTTCATTCCCTGACGGAATTTCATGAAACCTCATACAAGGGTTTGGTATGGCAATGCCTTGAACAAATTCGTGTTTCAGGTTTCTATGTAGGATTTGCTGAAATGTGTGAATGCAAGAGGATTTATGTATCACTTAGTAACCTTTGCAATAATAATTTAACCAATGCAAGCAATTATTTTGCATTCTGATTATATATTTATTAATATATATACCCGGTAACTTAATTACTTTTCACGTTGTTTTGGCCAAAGCTGGAGTAAATGTTGAGAATGGGTCAATTCCAATCATTTTCTATTGAAAAAAGCATGACGTTACTGTAGTAATATTTTGCATGTTACAAGCATTTGTTATATTTAGAATATGTCGCTATCAAACAATTTTATGCTAGAATAACTTCAGAATCCTTGTGTTTGTAGGCTATAGAAGAAGGATCATTAGATATGCTGGACCATAGTGATTTCCAGGACACAGACATTCCATTTGAAATACCACTACCAGAGAAAGCTCACCTCACAGTAAGTGTAGGAGTCTTAACTGTTAAATAACAGCCAAATTTACCAGAGAAAGCCCACCTCACAGTAAGTGTAGGAGTCTTAACATATCAAATAACAGACAAATTTACCAGAGAAAGCCCACCTCACAGTAAGTGTAGGAGTCTTAACTATTAATCATATCAAATAACAGCCAAAACTAGAGAAAGCCCACCTCACAGTAAGTGAAGGAGGCTTAACATATCAAATAACAGACAAATTTACCAGAGAAAGCTCACCTCACATTAAGTGTAGGAGTCTTAACATATAAAATTACAGCCAAAACTAGAGAAAGCTCACCTCACAGTAAGTGTAGGAGTCTTAACCTATCAAATAACAGCCAAATTTACCAGAGAAAGCTCACCTCACAGTAAGTGTAGGAGTCTTAACATATCAAATAACAGACAAATTTACCGGAGAAAGCCCACCTCACAGTAAGTGTTGGAGTCTTAACATATCAAATAACAGCCAAATTTACCAGAGAAAGCTCACCTCACAGTAAGTGTAGGAGTCTTAACATATCAAATAACAGGCAAAACTAGAGAAAGCCCACCTCACAGTAAGTGTAGTAGTCTTAACATATCAAATAACAGACAAATTTACCGGAGAAAGCTCACCTCACAGTAAGTGTAGGAGTCTTAACATCAAATAAAAGACAAATTTACCGGAGAAAGCTCACCTCACAGTAAGTGTAGGAGTCTTAACTATTAAACATATCAAATAACAGACAAATTTACCAGAGAAAGCTCAGCTCACAGTAAGTGTAGGAGTCTTAACATATCAAATAACAGCCAAAACTAGAGAAAGCTCACCTCACAGTAAGTGTAGGAGTCTTAACATATCAAATAACAGGCAAAACTAGAGAAAGCCCACCTCACAGTAAGTGTAGTAGTCTTAACATATCAAATAACAGACAAATTTACCGGAGAAAGCTCACCTCACAGTAAGTGTAGGAGTCTTAACATATTAAAAAACAGCCAAATTTACCAGAGAAAGCTCACCTCACAGTAAGTGTAGGAGTCTTAACATATCAAATAACAGCCAAATTTACCAGAGAAAGCTCACCTCACAGTAAGTGTAGGAGTCTTAACATATCAAATAACAGACAAAACTAGAGAAAGCCCACCTCACAGTAAGTGTTGGAGTCTTAACATATCAAATAACAGCCAAATTTACCAGAGAAATCTCACCTCACTGTAAGTGTAGGAGTCTTAACATATCAAATAACAGTCAAATTTACCAGAGAAAGCTCACCTCACAGTAAGTGTAGGAGTCTTAACTGTTAAACATATCAAATAACAGCCAAATTTACTCTAATCTTCGAAACTTTATGGTTCAAAACTTCTATAATTTACCATATATATATAGAATGTCAAGCATTGTTTAATTTTCATGTTGGTAAATATTTGTAGTGTTAGATTGCATGAAACACATGATTATCATAGCATACAAGTAGAAGTCATGCTGTATGGTGATTTGATTATGTAGGTGAAATTTTGATTCCTAGAAAAAATATGGGTTTTCATTTCCTCCCAACTCTGTTTATAGTCAATTATCCTTTAAGCTAACTCTATATTAGGAGGACAAATTTATTTCATATTTCTTGCAATTTTTTCTGGCAGTAATATCACAAAAAATAAAATCCTAAAACAAATAAGCACCATGTAGTAATTCACAGCAATGCGTTTCAGTAGTTGTTGTAGATTCTTTCAGGCAGATACCATTTTCATAAACTGATCTCTCTGTACTTGTTTTTGAGGACAAAAATTTGTGTTTCATTCAGTGGTATATTATATGTTATGCTCAAATAATTGTAGAACTCTATGTTTATGCACAAATAAATATTAGAAATAATATAATATTTTTCATTTTCTCACTGTCAGAACACCTTCTTAATAGATAAGAGAAAGAACTATCTTGATATAAGGATGTATTATATATATAATTACTGCTGCATGTTTCAGAGCCAACAACATGAGGATATCAGAGAGTGGGTGTTAGCCGTGTCCATGGACCAGAAAGTGGAACAGGTGCTTCCCCGCGATGAGAGGAATGTGTATGAGGCGTCACTCATGGCCCCTGAGACCGGAATCCGCTCCCTTCCTTGTGTCATCACAGGTATTTAGGACTTGTTTCCAAAAGCTTAGGACACATTGTATCAGGAAATTAGAAGTAGGATTTAATTGCAAGCCAGCAGATAACAGCAGTGAAAGTAGCTATCTTTTTACCTTGACTTCAAGTGGATTTTTTTATCATTCTGCCTTGTACTCTACTTCAATGAAAGATCTTTTCTTATATATTTCATAAACTCACATTAGTTATGTAGGTACATAGGGCTTATAGGGTTAGCTTCTGTGCTCCTTGTATAAGTATCTGTATACCTGCACATGAACTTAAACTTCCTATATAATATTAATTGTGAAAACTTTAATTTGTGTTGAGCAGCAAGTCAGTTGTGTAAGCGTTTTTTTTAACCCTTTACATTGTGATGAGGAACTGTTATAAGTCTTGCTAGGGGACAGTCAACATTATGATGAGGAAACACTGTGATTTAAAGTGAACTGTTTTCCAAGTGTTGCGAAACTCATCTTGATTTCTGCATTGTTTGTCCTCTGGTTAAAAAACCCAACTTTATATATTTAACAACAATTGTGAAACAAGTTCTTTCAACTTGTATTAATCACTCTTGCTGGCCCGGATGTTAGCATGTGGGGGGTCTTAATGCAGAAGTAAGCTTGTTTTGGTGAAATGCAAGTGCTTTATCCACTGGTCATTAGGTTGGGCTTTGTATTTGATAACCAAATAGACTTAAGCTTTGTCAACAGGTTACTGTTTGGAACCAACAAGATATTAGCTTTTGTTTGCCCTGTGTTGATTAAACAAATTGTTTTATATGTTACTTGTTGACAGGTTACCCTGTATTGAGGAACCAACTTGACTTCAAACAAGCAGGCAAGGTTGCAAACAAAGATGACTGGAATAAGTTTTTAATGGCTACTAAGGTAAGAGATTGGTTCTGACAGTTCCATGGATATATGAAAAATCGGGGAAATTCTGACCTCTGGGCCAGGTTGTTCAAACTCTGATCAGCTGTTGTATACTGCGAAATTTTCACCCAGTAAAACTTTCTCCCTTATCCAATAAATTCAAATTTTGCCTGGTGTAAATTTTCGCCTTTTAAATAAAATCACCATTGCATGTTAGGTTGTCTTCCTATATGTGCTGTCATGATAAATTCGCCCGGTGTTATGGAGGGCAAAAAATACGAAAATTAACCTGCTGCAAAAATTTCCCAGTACACAGTAAATGTATCATATAATTCCAAATTATCAAAATGCATTTTTTGTCACACCTCTGAAAAATTATCAATATCCTTTGTTTTCTCTCTGAAATTGGACATCTAGAATACCTACACTTTAACTTGAGATCACAATTTCAATAAAACAGCCACACACTAGGAGATGTTTTGTATTTGGTGTTATCAAGCTTTGTTAGGTTTTGATCAGCTTTTTCTCCTACATTTGCCTACTTTAAAACACATCAGGTAGAATGGTGAACTCTTTGCATTTTGCCAACATCAATGTCACAGGAAATGTGTGAAAAAATTGATGTTGCGATCAAATTGTGAAGAGGTGACGTTTTTAGAATGAAGGTACATTTAAGCTGTCCAAGTTATATGCCGGCTAGCTACTGCATAGAAAAGTTTAGTGTGAAATGTGCTAGGAATTTATCATTTCCTTTTGTCATTGATAAAGACTTTATGCCCACTAAAATCAATTCAATACTCAAAATGAACACGCAATCAGTGTAAAATTTTTATAATTCCGTTTTGTTCCTCTTTATCCCAAAACAGAAGTTAAAAGTAGTTGAAGTTAATGTGAATTAAATTATGTTTTTATCATGTTTTAGGTTTCCCACAGTGCTGAGCTTCAAGATGTCCTGAAGTTTATTGGAGTCTGGTGCGGAGCGACGCCCAATCCGACCTACTCCTTCCAGTAATCAACTCGCTACCCTGATCTGAACTTTTCCACCACCAGCAGTCTTATCATCTGTCGTTTCTCTCACCGGATCACACCTTTGTCTGTACTTATGAAGTGTTATTTCTTTACAAGAAGACTTCTCTACTAAACTATCTAGGTGTTTTGCCGTACAGACCCAACGAAGTATCATTTCTTTATCAGAAAACTTCTCCATTGAACTGTCCAGGTGTTTTGCTGTACAGATACTACAAAGTATCATTTCTTTATCAGAAAACTTCTCCATTGAACTGTCCAGGTGCTTTGTAGGAGACACAAATTATATCCCAACCATAAAAAAAAATGTCTCGTCTTTATCAGAAGACTTATCTATTGAACCATCCATGTGTTTTGTCGGCCAGATAATACAGCTGTTTCCACCATTAAAGGTCTCTTTTCTCTCCATGTAGAATTCTCTACTGAAATATGTTGCAGGTGTTGATCCCCTCAAAATAAGGTCATGGTGGATATGAATTATTCTGTTTGTGTGTATGACATGTTTACATATGGTTGTCACTATTTTCGAGGAAGATTTTGATTAAACTTCATGAAATGATCAAGCATGAGACTATACCTAGAACGAGTGTGTGTTCCAGGGCGTTAGGGCCAATGTCAAGGTCACTATTACTATTCATAGAAAATTATTATCTTTACTTGAGTGACTTCATTCAGAAAGAAATTTGATACAAATTTGATCCAATGGTCAGGTAGAAGAGTGCGTAGAACGAGTTTGTGTTCCAGGGTGTAATGATGTCACTGTCTACTGTTTTTGTGTCTATTAGTGAAAAAAAGAAATTCATTATCAAAGAATGAAGTTGCTAGAGTGAGATGTAACCAAGGACAGATGACTAGATATAAGCTATAAGCTCTCTTACAGACTTTGGTGACACTAGGGCATTTATACAACTAGACACTAGACAATACCTCTGTCTTTATCCCAAGTCAATTGTCCTCGTTGATTGAAAAACTTTCATCAAGTTGATGATATCAGGGTTTTTTCAGTGAACATGTTTTGGAAATATTTCTCATTTCTTAACTTCCTGAAATGAGCGAATCATTTCATGACTTCCTGAAATGAGCAAAGACTTATAATTACACATGTATCCTAGTAAGCAATGACAACAGAACGTGTAGGAAGGACAGGTGGATGTTTGATTATAACCAAATGTTGAATCTCTGCAGTATTTATACTACTAGGAGATCCCCAAGTATTTCATTTACATTTCTGCTACTGCATCATAACTTCTGTGATAACTGAAATATGTCTGAGTGAAAAAAATGATGTATATCTTATTCCGTCCACATATAAAAATTCAAGATGTTGTGCATTATTTTTTTCTTATTAGTGAAGATCTTTGTACTTTTAGTACAAGGATGTGATTTGTCTGATTATTCAGTAAATCTAGTTTTAAGAACATAGTGTCTGAAGCGTTATATGCTTTGTCAATTCAATCTTTTTGATGTTAGTATTTATTGCAATTTATTTTAAAATAAAATTTGATCTAACGCAAAAATGATAGTGTTTTTTCTTCAGGTGTGATTGATGGTTTAGTTATATGAAAAGAAATCCATTGGAATTTCTCACTATTTAAAAGACAATAGCAGAGATTTTTTCTTTATATGAGTAATAGTTTTGCTTGAAAAGATTATTGATGATTCTGAATATCTTATGTCGGTTGTTGGTAGGATACATGTTGACGTAATATGCCCTAAATAATACTGGCGATATATGAAAAACACCATGTTAACATTGTTTGTGGTCAAGTAGATTGGAAATTTGTCCCTTTTTCATCCATAGACCCAGCCAAATGAACTCGTATATAACAAATAACTCTCAACCCTGGAATATGTCAGCGCAATTGAAAGCTTAGTGTGCGCCACCTTGTTGATGAGACAAGAAGACTAGTTCGATCCTTTGATGTACATCAAAAGAATCTCGCAGTCATGTAACGGTAAAAATTGACAGGCTTTGAAGTTGGGCGTCTCTCCTTTGTAATCTTCAAAGGACAGGTATCAGCCTAGCGATTGGTCAGTTTTTAGCTCACCTGCCCGAAGTGCTAGTGAGCTTATGCCTTGGCGTAGCGTCCATCATCCGTCGTCAACTTTTTCTTAAAAATCTATCTCCTCCTAAACGCCAAAGAGGATTTCAACCAATTTTTAGTCTGAAGCATCACTAGGGGAGGTCAATCATTTCTTAAATAAATGAGGTTGGTTCAATCCCTAGGGCCAGGGGGAAGGGGCCCTGAAGGGGAACTTAGCTAAATTTGCTTTTAGCTAAATTTGCTTTAAAATGCATCTCCTCCTTAACACCAGAGAGGATTTCAACCAAATTTAGTCTGAAGTACAGTAGGGATGGGCAATCATTTCTNGCTTTAAAACGCATCTCCTGCTTAAGGCCAGAGAGGATTTCAACAAATTTAGTCTGAAGCATCACTAGGGGAGGTCAATCATTTCTTAAATAAATGAGGTTGGTTCGACCCCTGAGGTCAGGGGGTCGGGGCCCTGAAGGGGAACTTAACTAAATTTGCTTTAAAGCGCATCGCCTCCTAAACGCCAGAGAAGATTTCAACCAAATTTGCTCTGAAACTTCACTGGGGAGGGCAATCATTTCCTAAATAAATGAGACTAGTTCGACTGCTGGGGCTAGGAAGACCGGGCCCCANTCTGAAACTTTATTAGGGGAGGGCAATCATTTCCTAAATAAATGAGAGTGGTTCGACCCCTGGGGCTAGGAAGACCGGGCCCGAATGAGGACACTTATCTGATATTTTGCTTTAAGACGCTTATATCCCCTAATTGGTTACAGCTAGATTATCATATTCTATGGTGTAGTTTTTATAAATTGTTAAAAAATAGTTTCTAGGTTTATAAAAGGTTATGGTTGAATGAAAATTAAAGTATTGTCTAATTACACCCTGAAATATGACATATTACTTATTTCAAAATCTGTTTACATGGCAACTCAATGTAGACCTCTGATTAGTTAAAAGCCAGATACTGTGGTCCCAGTTGGATTAGAACACAGATCTTGTCTAATTTTGAGGAAATTTCATATAAAGATGTACTAATGCATTCAGTTGTAATGACTTAAATATAAAACCAGGTGAGCGAAACAGGTTCAATGGACCTCTTGTTTAGTTCACCTGGCACAAAGGGCCAAGTGAGCTTATGGCATGGTGCGGCGTCCGGCGTCAACTTTTTACTTTCGACAACAGCATGCTGAGATGAAGGGCTGCCAAGTTTGTTCAAATAAATGACCTGCGTACATTTTCAAGGTCAGAGGGGTCAAATATGTTAAAATCTTTGAACAACTTCTTCTGAATAACCAAGAGGCCTAGGGTGATGATATTTGGCAAGTAACATGCTGGGATGAAGGGCTACCAAGTTTGTTCAAACAAATGACCTTGACTTATATTTAAGGTCACAGAGGTCAAATATGTTTAAACATTTAAACAACTTCTTCTGAATAGCCAAGAGGCCTAGGGTGATGATATTCGGCAAGTAACATGCTGGGATGGAGGCCTCCCAGGTGTGGCCAAATAAATGACCTTGACTCATATTCAAGGTCACAGGGGTCAAATATGTTAAAAACCTTTAAACAACTTCTGAATAACTGAGAGGCCTTGGGTGATGATATTTGGCCAATAACATGCTGGGATGAAGGGCTACCAATTTTGTTCAAATAAATGCCCGTGGCCTATATTTAAGGTCACAGGGGTCAAATATATTTTAAACATTTAAACAACTTCTTCTGAATAACCAAGAGGCATAGGGTGATTATATTTGGTTAGTAACATGCTGGGATGAAGGGCTACCAAGATTATTAAAATAAATGACCTAGATTTATATTTAAGGTCACAGGGGTCAAATATGTTTAAACATTTAAACAACTTCTTCTGAAAAACCAAGAGGCCTAGGGTGATGATATTTGGCAAGTAACATGCTAGGATAGAGGCCTCCCAGGTGTGGCCAAATAAATGACCTTGACTCATATTCAAGGTCACAGGGGTCAAATATGTTAAAAACCTTTAAACAACTTCTGAATGACTGAGAGGCCTTGGGTGATGATATTTGGCCAGTAACATGCTGTGATGAAGGGCTACCAATTTTGTTCAAATAAATGCCCGTGGCCTATATTTAAGGTCACAGGGGTCAAATATGTTTTAACATTTAAACAACTTCTGAATAACCAATAAGCCTAGGGTGATGATATTTTGCAAGTAACATGCTGGGATGAAGGGCTACCAAGATTGTTTAAATAAATGACCTTGACATATGTTCAAGGTCACAGGGGTCAAATATGTTTAAACCTTTAAACAAATTCTTCTGAATAACCAAGAGGCCTAGAGTGTTGATATTTGGCAAGTAACATGCTGGGATGAAGGGCTACCAGGTGTGGCCAAATAAATGACCTTGATTTATATTCAAGGTTACATGGGTCAAATATGTTAAAATCTTTAAACAATTTCTCCTGGATAACCAAAAGGCTTAGGGTGCTTTAATTTGGCCAGTAACATGCACAGGGATGAAGGGCTTCCAAGTTTGTTTAAATAAATGACCTTGACTTATTTTTAATGTCACAGGGTTCAAATATGTTTAAACCTTTAAACAACTTCTGAATAACAGAGAGGGCTAGGGTGATGATATTTGGCAAGTAACATGCTGGGATGAGGGCTACCAAGATTATTAAAATAAATGACCTTGATTTATATTCATCGTCACAGGGGTCATATATGTTTAAAACCTTTAAACAACTTCTGAATAACTGAGAGGCCTAGGGTGATAATATTTGGCCAGTAACATGCTTGGATGAAGGGCTACCAAGTTTGTTCAAATAAATGACCTTGGCTTTTATTTAAGGTCACAGGGGTCAAATATGTTTAAACATTTAAATAACTTCTTCTAAATAACCAAGAGACCTAGGTTGATGATAGTTGGCCAGTAACATGCTGAAATGAAGGACTATCAAGTTTGTTCAAATAAATGACCTTGACCTATATTCAAGGTCACAGGGGTCAAATATGTTTAAAATATTTAAACAATTTCTTATGAATAACCCACAGCCTAGGGTGCTTTTATTTGGCCAGTAACATGCTGGGCTGAAGGGTTACCAAGTTTGTTCAAATGAATGACCTTGACATATATTCAAGGTCACAGGGGTCAAATATGTTTGAAACCTTTGAATTACTTCTTAATATACAAAAGGCCAAGGTTGATGATATTTAATCCTTAAATGATTTGTTTTGTATAACCAAAAGGTCCAGGGTAATTCTATTTTGCTAGAAGCATGCTGGGTTGTAAGACTATAAACTCTGTTCAACCTAATGTCCTTGTTTGACATTCAAGGTCACGGGCGTCATATGTTTAAATCTTTTAATAGGTTCTTATGTATCAAACACTGATATTCTGCCTGTAGTTGTATTTTAGTCAACTTTTAAGATTACAAGTGTGAGATTAATACCAGGAGAGCGATCAAGCCCATGGGATCTATTGATTTACCTGAGACCAATCAAACAGCTATCTTCGTGCCTTCAATTTTGCTATGAAATATTCCAGGGGTGTAGAGAGCGAAAGTGAGCGTAACCCTTGGATATCGAGGATGCTCTCGAGTGCAACTTGATTTTCAATACGACCATAATATGACATGGGTATACAATTTGAAACATAAGTATCTACCCATTCTGTGTAAACATTTCTTCTAAATGTTCACCTTGTCCCGATCAGCGAGTTGGGTCGTCACGGTTGGTCTGTTGTGACTGTACACAACGAGTCCAGTTTTATCAACTACACCCGTTCATAATGGACGTGTGCCAAATCCTTGACGCCCTACATAATGTTTACATAACGGGTATAACCTGTTTACTAAATTTACCTTGCAAATATTTTCCCAAAATGTATTTTGCACACATGATATTTATAATACTTACCTGTCGTGTCACAGCGTGGTGGTTCGTCACGGATGGTTACATATGCCTGTGTACAATTGCCTAAAAGTTACAAATGTACTCTAACTAAGCAACTATGCGAACCGCTGTAGAATTTTAAATACAGTGTAGTCATAATTTCCCTCACATTTACATTGCCAGACTGTGAAATAGTTTGGTCCAAAGTGAGGATGCAGAATAAGAAAGACCTCTACTTAGCATCCTTTTATCTTCCAAACCGTAATACTTAGCATCCTTTTATCTTCCAACCCGTAACATCTGTGATATCAGCATACAAAGTGAATCACTAACTCGCGCCTTAAATTCAACAAAAGACAAGCACGTGTTAGTCGATGGAGACTTTAACTGTCCGGACATTGACTGGGATAATATGTATGGTACGGAAAGGAGCAGCAAATATAGAAGTCCAGTAGGACCTTATCGACCTCTCAGTAGAACACGGTCTTACCCAAATCCACACCCAACCGACGAGGGATAAACACATCCTGGACCTCGTGTTCACTAACAACTCGACATGCATCCCAGGGATAAGTGACTATGCCATGATAGTGACAGACATCGACATCATC